TGTCTGTAGTGTCACTCCTATCTTCACACTGTCCAGTGTGTCTGGAGAGAGTCTAGACCTGCTCAAAGTCTTTCTCAATATCCTGCCGCCACTCACCAACAGCAAAGAGCAAGAGGAACTCATGCAACAGCTGACAGAATTCCAGGTAATTGGCCTTGCAGACGGGCAGAGAACTGGGAGCTGTAAGCGACATGCTGACCAAGCCCCGAGTCAGCTTAGAGATTTTGGACCTGCTAGCCCTACTTGGCAAGCCATTGATAGACTTTTCTTTGGCTTCAGGTGGATGAAATCTACACTGTACCAGAGGTGGGGACAGTTGTTGGAGGGACACTTTCCAGGTGAATTGCCTTGCTTGCTACCCACCCCACTCAGCTCTCACATACCCATACCCTTGACCCAAAGGAAGCCCTGGAGTTGAATAGAGCCCATCTAATGGATGTGCTTATTCGCAGATTGGCTTCCACCATTGTGATTGCTGAGGGAGCCAGTCTGTTGGCTTGTGAGGGAAGAAACATTATTGCTACTTACTAGGAATATCCAGGTCCCTGAGGGAGAACAGTGGGCCTTTGTCCCAGGAGGATACTTCAAGTATATTCATCTCCAAGTAGGGAAACAAGCAGTCCCTCACAACTCCAAAGCAGACAAAGGAAACCCAAGGAGATAACTTGCCCTTGCAGGGATCAGGTATTCCATGTCAGGCCAGCAAATACCTCTCAACCAGCCAGCTGTCACTACTGGTTTTTCCTGGTATTATCCTTCAAGTCTGAACTGCGGCAGCCATCCATCTCCCTACCTCCCACTCAGAATTTAGGGTTTCTTTCTCCTTGAGGGACTCAACCTTAGAAACCTTAGAAGGGAAGAAGTGATTTGGGTGACCCTAGCAGAGAAGTAGGAAGGGGAGCCTCGGCTGACACTGTGCTACCTGCCCTCCGGGCTGCAGTGGGATTTGCCGTGAGGGAGACCAGCTGGTGGTGGGCCCCACTGACGATGGCTGCTTCCTGGAGCTGAGAGTATGCAGCATCCAGCGCAACCGCTCTGCCTGTCGAGTGCTGCGAGCTGGTCAGGCTGCTACATTGGCCCTCGGGGACTTTGACCGAGCGCTCCTTCGAAAGGTGAGGTGGGAGCGTGGTTTGTAGAGGAAATACAAAGAGAAGTGCCTGGTAGACTAAGGTGCTTCAGAGGCACGCAGAGGAAACAGTCTCTAACCCAAGAAGCTGGTTACACAGACGATCGTGCATGAGAAAGACTTAAAATCAGATTATTAAATGTGAATCACTGGTGCAAACCAAGTGTTCAGGACCCTAAAAACAAAGCATTAGAAGGATTAGAGGACATGGGAGGTGGGTGTGAAGGGTTTCCTCTAAGGAAAGTTTTGAATACTGTCTTCTGAGGTCTGTTTAGAGTCCTAGAGGAAGAGAAAATTCTGGAGCAAAAGGTTGTAAAGGTTTTTAGGGAGGAAGAGATTAATTGGATGTCTGCCCTTACTGGGTCTGGGGGCTGTGCCTCCCCAGGGCATGGTGATGGTGAGCCCCGAGATGAACCCTACCATCTGCTCAGTGTTCGAGGCAGAGATAGTACTACTGTTCCATGCCACCACCTTCCGTCGAGGCTTCCAGGTAACAGTACACGTGGGCAACGTACGTCAGACGGCAATTGTGGAAAAGATCCATGCTAAGGTGAGAGGGAACCAGCCATGTCCCCGTTTTTCCAGGGAAAAGCCAGATTTCTCCTGCCTGCAGAAAGGAAGCCCAGTCCCAGACTCATAGAAAACTCCCTGATACTGCAATGGGAATAAAGCCCCACTTAGGGTGGACAGAAGCTGCTAGGATCCGAGGGTGGAAAGCCAAGGCTGGTAGCAAAAGGGATGGGAGGCACTGGCCAAGGCCAGTGACCAAATATCTGCTGCAGGACAAGCTGCGGACAGGGGAGAAGGCAGTGGTACAGTTCCGCTTCCTGAAACACCCAGAGTACCTGAAGGTGGGCGCCAAGCTGCTGTTCCGGGAGGGTGTCACCAAGGGCATCGGCCATGTCACTGATGTGCAAGCCATTGCAGCAGGAGAGGCCCAGGCCAACATGGGCTTCTGAACTCCTCCAGCAGGCACAGCTCGATTGCTGTCCCTACAATACATAAGGTGACTTCCAGTAATGCTGCCCCTGTTGGCGGCTCTGTGTGTTAATAGGTTAAAGAAAGAGGGGTGCTCCGTCACTTGCGCCCTGTCACCTCTCTGGAGAGGTGTCAAGCTTGGTGAGGCCAGGGAGGGGCAGTCCTGTGGGAGAAGACAGAATTCAGGGCCGTCCTCAGCAGCTGTGTCCTCCTGGCTGGCTCATCACCTGTGGCAACCCCATGGCCTGTCTACTGGAAGGAGCAGACCACCGCCACATCGGCCTCCACTGTCAGGACCGGGCATGATTCACCAGTGTGTCCCTGAACTTCAGGAATTGCCATAACAACTGGGGGTGGCCCTTGAAGGGCTCCTTTTTCTATACCTCTTCTCAAGGTCATGTAAGTTGCCCACCTCTACCTGACTGTGGACAAAAGACATCTGGTGGCCCAGGGTATGAAGAAATGGCACAGGGACAGTGAATGACAGTGCTCCCACCCTGTGCTGACACATGAAGCCTATTCCTCAGCTTTATCTCCCTTCCCTTCACTCAAGGGCCATTTCCCGTTTCCGCTCTCAGTGGCCCCACAGGTGCTATTTGTCGTGCTGGCCCAGGCGTGGGGCTGCCGAGCTAAGTCTTGGCAAACCGAAGGTCAGCTGCATGTCAATCAATCTTGTCCCCTCTTCTGCAGTGATCTGTTTAATGCTGGGTCAAACAGTATGTTTTACTTTCCCAGACTGGTGGCTGGGGATCTGAAGCACAGCTCCTCATCCTGCCATCCCCCCACCCCTTTCCTGCTCCATGTAAGTCCTCTTGTTTTAGTAACTTGCAGTGATCATCCCTTTCTCTCTGTTGCAGGGAACCTGGAGGAAAGGGAAAGATGTTGCCATTATTTCCTAATCATTAGGGCATGGACTCCCTCCTTTCCCTTTGTTAGTGTCCTGGGTTCCCATGGACTCAGGGATTTGTTGGCTGGTTTCTCTGCATATATATATATACATATATATTTAAATACACATATATTGTACAGAATAAAGATGTTTTATTGAACATACTGTGCTTATGCTTAAGACACAGGCTCAACTTGAAGAGCTAGATTCTTCTCCAGGATTTAGAGACAAGTGAAACCTTAACACTGCTAAGCCTTGCATGAGGAAAGGGCCCATCTGGTATTTCACTCACCATTCTTCCTCCTCCCCGCCACATGCAGCCAGAGTGCCAGCACTGTGACGAAGCATTTTGACCTGTTTTGTGCAGTTCTTTGAGTGAGCCTAATAGAAAGTGAAAGTGATACTTCTCAAATGAGAGAGGTAGCCACCCCATATTTGGGGAGTTGGCCACTTGCTAGTGTTCACAATGGTGAGGAGTCCTTTACTGTACCCTGATTAAATGAGATTTGGAGACTAGCATGCCAGCTGCTTGGTAAAGACTAGAATTTAGACATGTGGTAATCTGCTCCTTACACTTTTCCTAGCAATTATGAGGGCCACCTGACCAAACTGAGTTCCTAGTACCTGAACACAATTTTTTATGGGTAGAGAAATAGTGCCTAAGGTTAAAGTCAACACAGAAAGCAGGGACTACATTTTTTCAGTACTGAGCCTTGCAAAAGAAACCCAAGAAATGTGGCCCAGGGTCCCATAGGGCATTCTGCCTCCATGGTACTAAAATAGCTTCCCTAAAATAGCTTTTTCAGACATCATGGTTTAACTTGCTACACTGAGAACTGTGGTTGAAGAACTTCCTCATATAGTGGCAACTAAGAGCTGTTTACTGTCTTCTGTATAGCTGCTGACAAACAGCAGTAAGGTAAAAGGTACTACAGCTTTCATCTAACACTGGCCTCTTCGTGTCTGCCTGCTGTCCCTCTACAGGCTCTTTGCTAGTATGCAGGGCAGGTCTGGCATTCCTAAGGAAACAGAGGTGTGCTGCACTGATAACTTTACTGATTACCCACTAGACACACCCCTTCCAAACACACACTTACTACCTATCTTGGTTGGCTACATTACTTTTCTATATGACCCCTTCCAGTCAACCAATGTGTTCAAAATTGGCTGCACTTGATCTGTATAGCACCTAAGGTTCAAACTTTTTGCTGAATTAAGATAGGAAATTTTGGAAAGTCAGTTCAGTACTTACTATCTCCAGGAACTAGTGAGCTTTGCTACATAAGGGAACATTTAGGAAGACTTAAGAGGTGTTTAAGGCAGTTTCCCCTTACTCCAATAGTATATTTGATATACATTTCAATTAGTAATGAGCACCTATTATGTGCAAGGCACTATGAAGAATTCTTGCCTTCAAAAAACAACTACTAGGGGCAGGGGCCATATACAGAGTGAAAACTATCTACTGTTTAGCTGCCATTGAAGTGAAAATTAGACATGTGGTAATGGAGGATGGAATTTCCTCTTAAACCTATTGGTTTTCAAGTGTTATCCCTCTTCAGATTAAATACAACCCCTCCCCCCATTTGTAAATCTGCTTTAAAAACAGTTGGTTTGTGTGTATGTATGGGAGGTAAAGAGATGTACACCATTCTCCCTACCTACTATCCCCCACCATCTAGCTTAGTGCAGCATTTTCAGTTGGGTTCTCTGCATAATTCTAGGTTTCCCACATTAGAAAATCAAAAAGGAGATCAAAAATATAGTACTATAGGGCCTCCCCGGTGGCGCAGCGGTTGAGCACTGGGTTGCAAAGCTGCCCACAGCCTCTGCAGCGCCAGTTCAATCCCCCGCTGCTCCCCAGCCAGCGGAGGAGGGTCCTGCTTGGCGCGCAGACCTCTCCTGCCGCCCGCTCTGGTGAATTCTCTCACCCTCCCGCGCTTCTGACTATACCCAGTGTTTGTATAAATAAATAAATAAATCTTAAAAAAAAAAAAAAGGAATATAGACTATAAACATGGACAAGTGAAAAACACTACAATAATTAAAACCCTATACTAAAAATTCATACTTCAATAGGGAAGAGATGAATATACCAGTGACCCTGAAAGCCCAAGGACTTCCTAAATCTGCACCTTAAGTTTTAAAGAAATGTCATTGCCCGCTACAAACCTGCTCCATAGTATCTTTTAGAGCAGTATTTCTCAAACATTGATAGGTGAGGTGTTCTCAAAATCAGAGTAGGAAAGGCTCTAGACATGATCCAATTCTGCTCATGACTTAATCCAATCTAACCAAGTTCCTAAACTGGTCCAATAGCAAGCTCATTCTATATGACGACAAAATTGCAAGAGGTAGAAGAGCCAATGGCTAAAAATTGTGGCTTTAATAGCATTTACATGAATGAAATTCAGTATTAACTTCCTGTGTACCTACCCTGCCCTAAACTAATTATTCCCTTAGATTCAAGTCTTCACCTCATTCTCAAACCTCCCACTTTATTCAAGGTATTATTTGGACTGCCCATCAGACTTAGGGGAATATTTTGCTAAACATTTTTAATTTTTTTTCTTTCTTTTTGTTTATTTAAATATTTTATTTTATATAATTCTTACATCTTTTTTCATCTTTGCACAATGTATGCGTTTTCATTTTTTGGTTATATTCTCCATACAATTGCACACCCCTGCTAAACATTTTTTTAACTCAGTTCCTTTCCTGTGCTAACTTTAAGCTACACACTTTGAATACATTTTTCTTAACCATCAATAATTTCTAAGGTATCACAATTTTACATACAAGCAAAAATGAGAAAAGTGACTCACTCAAGGCCACACTCAACAGACAGGGCTTAGTTTGGAACGAGATCTCTTGGGCCGCACAGCCCAAAAATTTGACACTACCTCCCTTAACTCAAAAGATTAAAAACTCAAAGAAGTTGTATCTTTGGAAGATGAATTTTTATATCTCTATCTGCAGTGGGATTAGAATCCATGCTTGTGAAGAGATGAGAGCCTTAACTTAGCATCTAACTGGATTGTTTTTCTTATTAAAAATTTCATAAAGTTATGCATATTCCTGCGAAGGAAGCCAACATATTTCCATCTCCCTGGTTACAGAGAAAATATTATAACCCTGCAGCAAGCCTGAGGGTAGCACTAGTGTGTTAATGGCTTAAAAAATGATTCCAATGTCCGCATACCCTCAGGCCTAGGGCGTTTATTGCTGGAGGCCAAAGGGCTCTTGGGATTTCTTTTGCTTTGAGGAGAACTGACAGGAACCACCTGGGGGCTTGAGGAGTGGGGCTGTAAAAAGGATTTCTGCAACTCCAATGCAAAATGGTAGTCCGTATGTTCTGGCATGTCCCATGCAGGTACTAGAGAGCCACATTTCTCACAGGGCACCTGGTCTTCAGCAGCCAGAAGACTTGAGGTGGTACTTTCTTTCTGCGACACCTCCAGAGCAGACTCGGAAGTAACAGAAACAAGCTTGCTTGGGCTGTCCTGAGTCAAATCCATCTTTGCAGAAGTTGCTTTAGGGGATCCTAGTTTCAATACCTCTTCACATACAGGGGCACAATTTGGATACTCTGTTGGAAAAGAGTTTGGCAACTCTTTAGAGGGGGACAGTGCATTTTGTGGGGGGCAGAATGTTGAATTATTAATCTGTTTTTGCTTTAAAAGCAGACTTTTCTGTTTAAAGAAGGGCTCAGTTCCTGTCGCACGACAGCTTTGGAAAGATAATGAGGGCTTGGATGGAGAATTGTTTATGGGGGCCTGGGTAGTAGCACTAAGAGGTAAAATTGAAGCTTCTTTGCCTTTTTGCTTTTCTACAGCTTTTTGGAAGAATGATTCCAGAGAAGTGGTTGCTTTCTTAGTGGCTGTAACCGCTGGGCCACTTCGCTGGGTCTTAGCTTCAGAACTGGTAATTGGCACCTTGGGCAGAGAACTTGGGTCATTGTTCAAAAAGACGGTGATGTCTGTGCTGGAGGAGGGGGTAGAGGCAGAGAATTTGGTAGCACAGAGGAAAACCATTGTGAGGGGAGGGGACCTGTATAGAAAGTAAAGGAACAAGAAGATTAGCACTAGGCCACAGATTCAATTTGTAAATTACTTGGGATTCTGGCTCTGTGACCAGAGAAAATTTTTAGTGCAACAGTCCTCAAACTTTAGGGGTATACCAGATCAACACAGATTTGGTAGACCTGAGATGGGAAGAAAATTTGCCTTTCTAACAAGTTCCTAAATGCTGATGTTGCTGGTCTAGGACCACACCTTGGTGGTCTTAGACTGATTATGACCAAGACCTACCAAATCAGATATGTGTAAGTTAGATTCCCCCCCCCTTTTTTTAAAAGATTTATTTATTTATTTATAAAAGAACCGGGTTACAGGCCAGATGCGCAGGAGGGTGAGACAGAGAAGGGAGCAGAACAGGCAGACTGACGAAATACACTGATGAGGGGAGCAGCAGGCGCTACAGGAGAGGTCTGCCGCACCATGTGAGACCCTCCAGTTTTAAATATTCTGTTCCCCAGTTAAAATATTCCAGTTTAAATATTCTGTACCCCAGTTCTATGCATAAATAAATCTTTTTTAAAAAAAAGCCACCACCAGGCCTCCCTGGTGGCGCAGCGGTTGAGCGCTGGGTTGCGAAGCTGCCCATAGCCTCTGCAGCGCCAGTTCAATCCCCAGCTGCTCCCTGGCCACTGGAGGAGGATTCCTCATGGCATGCAGACCTTTCCTGCCGCACGCTGCTCCCCTCAGCAGTGTACTTTGTCAGTCTGCCTGTTCTGTTCCCCGCTCTGGCTCTGGTGAATTCTCTCACCCTCCCGCGCTTCCGACTGTACCCAGTGCTTGTATAAATAAATAAATCTTTAAAAAAACAAAAACAAAAACTTTCCTTATATAAAAAAAAAAGCCACCACCTAGTCCTAATTTTGACAGACTTTCAAATCTAGAATTTCTAGAGAATAGAATTCCACCCAAATAAATTTATACATGAGCTGAATTTCAGAAGATGAAATTTGCTTTAATATACAGAGTTGTCCCTTGAGAGTAAACATTACCTTAAAGTTATTATTACAGTATCTTATTATCCTTTGGTTTCATGCTTTGGGGTAGTGTTATAATCAGGCAATTTAGATGCTTCCCTATCAATAAGTTTCACACTACTGGTGAACGGTATTAATTACAGTCTGCCAATTTGTAAAGGTTCTTATGAGCATGTTACTACAGTTATCATTAGGTTCAGTAAAATTGTCCAATATTTAAAAATAAATATGCTGGGAAGTCAGCATTAAATTATCCAAATAAAGAAAAAAGACTTCAACTGTGGGTGTGTGTGTGTGTGTGTGTGTGTGTGTGTGTGTGTGTTACAGTGCCCCTATGTTTAGAGAAGCAATAACTTAGGCATTAAGTAAATTTTTATTTTTGAAATTTAAGTAAGCAACCAATTTGTCTTTCTCAAATATATTTCCATTGTTGGACTACTTTTTTTCACTGCAACCTGGGACATGCTAAGTAACTAAAGAATTTTAGTCTAGACAGTAAATGAACATACTCTAGTCATGTATTTGGTTTTTTTTTCCCTTATAACTAAAGTGTTTAGCAACATGGTATTAAGTATTACACTATTAGTGCACTAACTGAGTTGGGGTATTAGAGATTAATGAATACAGGTCACTTTAATTATCAAAGAAAATGCATTTGCTTTTTTTCAAAGAAACAAAACTCAAGTAGTTGAGAAGTTCCCAAGTATATTCTTGAAACTCCCAAGTCCAATTTGGCCATTCTCTGATACTGGCTCACTCTGCCTTAGAACTAGAATACACCAAATGCAAGTTAGCTGCCTTGTTTCTGGTATTGCTACTGTGTTCTTTCCCTCAGTGCATGACCCCAGCTAGGTAGAGCTAAAACAGGGTATAAATAAGTCTTCTTTGAGAAGATGAACTAGAATGAAACTTACCATTCAGTTTGGATTCTTGAAGTATTACAGTTCCTAATGGCAGCAAATGCATCATGGCTCATCTTGTAAGCATCATAGTGGGTGAGCGCACAGCAGCGGCGCAGGCTGCTAAGACGTTTGTCTCCTTGAACACGGATGCTCACAGCCAACTGGATGGCCACTCTGTCATTCTGAGTATGTAAAAGGATACCAGAAAAAGTTAGCATGAACATCTAGATTCTATATTCTGAACTACATGAGTAGAAATTAAAATGATTTGGCAATAGCCAAGTTTTTTTGATGCTATTTCTGAATGTAAAAAGTAATTGGAAAATATAATTTGGGTGATGGGTTATTAGAATTTCTAGGATATAGGGCCTCCCCTGGTGGTGCAGGTGGTTGAGCGCAGTGCTGTGAAGCTGTCTACACCCTCTGCAGCACTGGTTCGATCCTGGCTGGCTGGCGAGGATCCCACATGGCGCGGCAGACCTCTCCTGTCTCGCGCGCTGCTCCCCTCTGCAGTGTATTTCATCAGTCTGCCTGTTTTGTTCCCTGCTCTGTCTCTGGTGAATCCTCTCACCCTCCCGCGCATCTGGCTTGTACCCCAGTTCTTGTATAAATAAATAAATAAATCTTTAAAAAAAAAAAAAAAAAAAGAATATCTAGGATATAATGACAGGTGATGGAACAAGATGAAATGAAAATGGACTCCTGATTTTCATTCATATATATTTGTCCACAAAGGAAGATTATAACAAATACCTATAGTACTACATTCTATTTTGTACTTAAGTGCACATATCAGTAATTGTCTGAAAGGAAGATTCAAGCCAGGATGTCAAGATTGAGTAGCGGATCTATTGTTTAATCTGCCCTGATGCTTAAACTTACTAAGAGCAGAAGTTACTGCTATCACCTCCTTGCAGCCCATCCACAGAGAAGATACAGTACAGTGAGCCTGTCTCTAGAGAGCAAAATCATTGACTCACTTTTTAGTGAAGTCAAAGAATCAGAATAGTGCTGATGCAAGCAAGTCAAGAAAGAAAGGTCAAGAGGCAGAATATGTGAAGGTGAGAAGTCTGCACAGACTTAAAAATCAAAAGATGCCAATGAGAAGAAATATCTCTAAAAACAAGTTAAGAGCAGCAACATTTCTTTTTGGTATTTGAATTTGTAAATACAATTCATACAGATTTGTATATCTTGAGACACACAAAGTGAAGTCCTTGTTGACTAAAAGCAACTGCAACTAATTGCCTTCTATAAGGCACTATTTAGAGATAAGAGAGCAAAATAAAGGCTGGGCGTTCAAGGATCTTGTAGTTGTTTCTTTTTAAGGAGAGAGTGAATAAAAGTAATCATCAAGTGTCAAATCTCTGACTTAATACTATGTCTCTAAAAGTGCCAGTACTTCTTCATTACATGGACTTTAAGTCCAATAATTTACAGCCCAGTTCCTATATGTCCTAAATGTCAAGCTGTATTCTGATAAGTAGGCATGTGACAGAAATGAATTCAGAGTGCTATGGGAAAAAAAGAAGGTGGGCCTCCCTAGTGGCGCAAGGGGTTAAGACACAGCACTATGAAACCGCAGCCACTGCAGCACAAGTTCGATCCCTAGCCAGGGAGGTGATCTACATGGCACAGCAGACCTCTCCTGCCTCACCTGCTGCTCCCCTCAGCAGTGTATTTCAGTACATCTGACTGTTCTGCTCCCCACTCTGTGGTGAATCCTCTCACCCCCCGCATCTCTAGCCTAATTCCCAGTTCTTGCACACATAAATAAATAAATCTTTAAAAAAAAAAAAAAAAACAGGGCCTCCCCTGGTGGCGCAGGCAATTGAGCACAGTGCTGTGAAGCTGTCTGTAGCCTCTGCAGCATCGGTTTGATCCCGGCCAGCTGGCGAGGATCCCACATGGCACGGCAGAGCCCTCCTGTCTTGCCCGCTGCTCCCCTCAGCAGTGTATTTCAGTCAGTCTGCCTGTTCTGTTCCCTGCTCTGTCTCTGGTGAATCCTCTCACCTCCCCGCGCATCTGGCCTGTACCCTGCTTCTTATATGCATAAATAAGTCTAAAAAAAAAAAAAAAAGACAAAGAAGGGCAGAAAGTGCTAATGTGACAAGGTAGTTGGGAAAGACCTCTTGAATAAAATGAAATTTGAGCAGAGAGTTAATAAAATGAGGAAGCAAAGGTTCTCCGAGCCAAAGGAATGGCAAATACAAAAGTGCTAAAATGGGAGCTTACTTGGTGTGTGAAATAAAAAAGAAGGCCAAATGGAATGGAGGCTAGAGAAGTGTTAATGAAGAGTGGGCGATAAGGTCAGAGAAGTAGCCAGAGGATAAAAGAAATCCACACAAGTATAAAGGGAAGTCACTAGAACACTTTTATACAAAGTCCTTTTAAGTTTAAAGATGTATTAGCCAGGGATCCCTACTAAGTGGTACTAGAGAGAAAAATGGGAAGAAAAGCCCCAAGGGCTTATAAAAAGGGATGAGAACAGAGCGACACCTAGCGGGCACAAATAATGCAAATACACAGATAATATCTGGGGATCCTGTCCTCTGTGCTGCAAACCACAGCACAAATACTCTCCATCAAGTCAGTTAAAGGCACAAGCAAGCAGTTTTGGATGATTCCCAAGAGTACATAGTTAACTTACAGACTCAGTTCAACAGGAGAGGAAATATCAATACCACCAGGAAAGTGAAAAGAAAACCCAGGGCATGGGAGAAAATATTTGCATCTGAGAAGGGGCTTGCACCCAGAATACATAAAGAACTCTTAAAACTCAGTAATAACGAATTCATTCAAAAATGAGCAACTAGTGGTTGCCTAGAGTTGGGTAACTGCTAGTGGATATAAGATTTCTCTTTTGGGTAATGAAAATGTCTTAAATTGTGGCATAGATGAACAAGTCTGGAATATACTAAAACTACAGACATATATGTATACTACAAATGGATGAATTTTAAGTTATGTAAAATATGTATCAACAAAGCTAGTTGTTTCTTTTTAAGGAGAGAATAAAAAAAGTAATCAAGTGTCAAATCTTTGACTTAACACTCTCTCTAAAAGTCCAATAATTTACAGCCCAGTCCCTAAATGTCCTAAATGTCAAGCTGTATTCTGATGAAGAGCCACTGTATATTCAGGGTTGCAGGGGAAGTAGATAAATTCTTAAGCAAATGGAAGCAAATGGTAATGAGGAAGACAGGGTTAGTCAGGTCTTGTGTTCACAGATGGCAACTTTCAATGATCATGCTGGGAGTTTTATGCTCAAAACTTACTAGGCTAGTATCTTTCTGTAGCTTTGTTTCTACTTCATAAAGAACAACTAGTATTTAAGTCCCAAAGTTCACCCTAGGAATAAAGAAGAAAATCTTACATCATTTCGGTCCTTGGTTAGTCTCTCTTCTAGTTCCTGGGCTAATTGCAAAAGCCACCATTGTACCTAAAAGAAGTATTGAGACTTTTAGTCTTTCATCTGAAAACTCTAGGTTTATTATAGACCTTAGATGGATTTGTTCATTTTTCCCCCCAAATGGAAATGTGCACCAAACTCCTTCAGAGCCATCACAGATCATGGAAATCTTCAGTATTCTGATCTGCTCTAGCTGAATATTTTTGTTTTCTTTTCCTGCTGGCATGCTATCAGGTGAATTTCAAGCATGTGTTTCAGTTCTGAGAAAAAAAGACAAACCTGATGCATAATATCCTAAGTCTTCCAAGTTTTCACCTACCAAAAAATTAATTCATTTGAAGCTTCAGTCAGTTCCATTTTATTTCATTTTAGATTTAAAATAAAGGAAAAGTATTATGTCACAAGTTAAACTAGTTAACTTTACACACACACACACACACACACACACACACACACACACACAGGACATTTCCCTTCATACTTAATAGAACAAAGGTCCCATGTAACTTATTAAATCTCCCACAGCTATCAAAACCTATCCACTCGCTCCCTTAAGTAGCACTGCTTTGTCAAGAATGCCTACCTACCTGTTCCTGAGTAGTCAGAGCTGTTTTTCCTGGGAAGTTCTTGCTGCAACCAATGGTTTTGGGTAGTTGTCTGGGTTTGACTGGATCATGTTCAATCCCACGACACATGGCATACAACCATGATCTAATAAAACCATCGCAAAGTTTAAGGTGAAGGAAATGATTACTTTTGTTAAAGCAAAACATCTATATTACACTTTTAACTCTTTCATTTAAAAAAAGGAAAAAGTAAAAAAATAAATAAATAAAAAGGAAAAATACACTCTAAATTAAGTATATTCTGACAGAATTCCTGGCTTTCCTAATGGATTTCAGTGTACTATACTGCCAAGGAAAGGAACACAGGTTATGTTTTCTAATGACAAGTCATCATATTTTCAGGAAAGTATCAAACAAGTTCCTAATTCATATCATGCTTTTTGGTACTTACTACAGACTAAATACAGGATTACAAAGGAATATCAGTATCTTTGCACACATAAATGATGTACTTATATATATACAAGTTTCAAAGTAATAATTCTTATCAACCTTGTAGGTATGAAAAAACTCATCTAGACTGATATGCTATAGTGATTTAATGTTGTAAAATGAAAGGACCAAGGAAATTACTCAAGGAACAAATGTTTTAATCTAAAGATAGGTCTTGGTTTTACTAGATGCTTTTGTCTATATTTGAATTTAGCATCGCCATAAAGTTATAGTTAAAAAAGTATTATGAATCACTTACCCATTCTTTTCCCCAAAATGACTCTGAAGTTGGGATTCAGTGAACTGGGTTAGTTCACCCATGTATTCTACCCCAAGAATTTCAATGACTGACGCCCCAAGCTTTCCTCCAAGACTACGGCTAACAAGAGACAAAGAATTTATATATCACCATGAGTATCTAGTGAGTAGTGAACATAAGACATTTTGCTTTTGTAAGTAGCCCTCTGGAAGGTTCAAGGGAAATGAGACCACATTGGTCCCACAGACTATTAATTTTCCAGCATAAAGACTAAGTAGTTATGGGAATTCAGGTATCTTTGGAGGTTAGGGTCTGGGAAGAAAATTAACAATAGCACAAACAAAAGGTTAAAGTCATTGATTAGTTGTCAACTGTCTACAAAACTTTTGTTTTTTAAAAAGATTTATTTATTTATTTATACATGAACTGGGGTACAGGCCAGGAGGGTGAGAGGATTCACCAGAGACAGAGCAGGGAACAGAACAGGCAGACTGACGAAATACAGTGCTGAGGGGAGCAGCGGGCACGACAGGAGAGGTCTGCCGTGCCATGTGGGACCCTTACCGGCCAGCCGGGATTGAACCCACGCTGGCTGCGGACAGCTTCACAGTGCGGTGCTCAACCGCCTGCGCCACCAGGGGAGGCCCCAAAACTTTCAATTATATAGGACTTACTGTTCCAGGGATTAAAATTCCAATCAAATTCCAAAAAAATTAATTTAAATTCCAAAACAAATCCTAATTTCTATGACTAAAGGTCAGCCTGGCCTCTGAGGTTACCTAAAATCTGTCCTTAGTCTATCATTTCAGCCCTATTTCTGTCACCTATCAGTGACTTATCAGTAAGCTAAACTAATTTGTGGCCCAATTCACTGATAATACCTTGTCCTTTCCCCCCTCTGTGTTCACTTGTTCTTCTAGTCTCATCTGACTCTCCAAATTGAGCCAAATCTCAAAACAAAATTACATCCTTTTTCGTAAATCCTCAGCATACTCTTTCCTTCTGTGAACTTTGGTAACTACCTATACAATTCATTTAGCAATTAGTCATGTATACTCTTGTGACAGCACTTTCACTGTTGCTTTGAACTGATATATCCCTTCAACAGTATTTTAAGTCCTTGTCAAGGACACACAGTTGGTAGGCGCAACCTAGTCATTCATTTTGTTTGGCTTTGCCTCATGTCAAGTTTGACAGCAATTCAGCAGCCCTGAACACCTTGATATCAGAAGAAAGAAAAGTGAAAGTCCAATTAATTTTGTTATTTAGTAATAGACTTGAATTTAAAAAAAGCCCCAGAGAAGTAAACATAGCTAAAAATCAGGTTTTTTTAAAAAATTCAAGATTAAGTAGCTTCCACAGTTAATCCATGACTGAAGGTTCATTAAGAAAAAGTCTCAGGGGGCTTCCCTAGTGGCTCAGGGGTTAGAGTCTCCGTGCTATCAAGCTATCGCCAGCACTGGTTCGAACCCCAGCATGGGAGCTGACCCACATGGTACAGCAGACTTCTGTCTCACCTACTGCTCCCCTCAGCAATTATTTCAGTAGATCCACCTGTTCTGCTCCCCACTCTGTCTCTAGTGATTCCTCTTACCCCCTCGTACCGCTGGCCTACACCTTGTATGCACAATTAAAAATAAATCTTCAAAAAAGAAGAAATAGTCTCTGTTTTGCAAATTTTTCTGTTATCTCCCTCTGCCTCCCTAATACCTGTTTTCCTGGCTTCAATCCTTCATAAGGATTTTCCATGTGTATGAAAGAAATATAATTTCTATGTATATGAAGGAAATTTAAGGTGCTCCCTTAATACTTACATTTTGCTAATAGGTACTTGGCTGAAGAGCTGTGGGACTGACCCATGTGAGACCAGGGTCTGGCGATTGGGCTTGTTTAGTCCACAGGCCAGTTTTGCCAGGACCTGGAATATGAAAAGTATAAAAACTTCATTACTATCAATATGCTCACAGAGAGGTGAAGAATATGCCACAGACACACACACACACAAACACACACACACACACACACACGAACAGTTTAAGGGCTGTAATCTTCATTGTTCTTTCCATAGCTTCCATTCTTAGTTTTCCTTTACTCATTTTTGCCTCCCCCATTTATTCCTTGAGGCCCTCTCACTTCAACCAAATAAAAGCAGGGATTACAGAAGAAAACTTTTTTAACTTGTCCATATGAGAATGCTGAAACATGCCCTACATTTTTACATTTCTTGGTTAGTCCATTTTGATTGCCAGACTTAATACTGACTAAAGCTTAGGCTCAAAGTCATCTTCCAAGAGCAAACATCTTATACTATAAACGAGACTTCAAAAATGAAAAATTAAATCCTGGCAAACTCTCTTCAAAAAATAAAGTACTCTAGTGGTATCATTTCATAAATTATCATTAGTAGTAAAAGTATAAAATCATTCTTTAAAGTCACTGGAGAGGGCCTCCCCTGGTGGCGCAGCAGTTGAGCGCTGGGCTGTGAAGCTGCCCACAGCCTCTGCAGCACCGGTTAGATCCCCAGCTGCAGGCGAGGGTCCCACATGGTGCGCAGACCAATCCTGCCCCGCCCGCTGCTCCCCTCAGCAGTGTATTTCATCAGTCTGCCTGTTCTGTTCCCCACTCTGGCTCTGGTGAATTCTCTCACCCTCCCACGCTTCTGACTGTACCCAGTGCTTGTTTAAATAAATAAATTTATAAAAAAATAAAGTCAGTCACTGGAGAAATTCTTTAGGAAATTTTACTAGGCAACTTTTAGTATGGTTTAAATGACTATATTGGTATGCTTTGGTAATTTCCCTCTTATTGGGAGGAGGGGGAGAAAGTAACCAAGGATAATCAGCTACTGCCCAATTATTGAGCCTAGTCAGTGGGGATGAATTTCCCAAGCCCTCACTGCACTTTAAATAGAAAGGGAGTTTTTCTGCCCCTGAACTGAGAACTGTCTGTTTATCCTAAATCAAAATAGTGGTCCACATTAAAGAAATTTTATTATTCCATTTCTCTTATTGCTCTCATTAGAAAAGGGGAAATAAGCTAAAACATGAAACCCCCAGGCAACTCCACATAAGAAATTCAGCAAGGGGGTGTGGCAACCTATCATATGAGCTTTGCATACAATATCTCTGGGGGGGCTAGGGAACCAAACCCCTGGTCCAGAGATGTGTGCAATTTGAGTGGGGCGTCCTCCTTTTCCAACTGGGGGAGGAAAACATCAAAGATGTGACTGGGAACCCAGGGCAGGACTAGAAACCAGAAAGGAGACAAGAGGAGCTGGACTGACCACATACTGGAGTCTGTCCCCACTGGGGAACTTCTCCACTGACATTGGCGTGGAGCAGGGTTTCCAAAGCCAGAATTACTAGATTCAGAAGCGGCATCATGTGACAATCACTGAAATGAATGGGACAATCAAGGTGAAGGAGGATGCATGGAACGCAGAGACTGAACTGGTCTGGAGAAACAAGACAGTCTTCTACATCACAGGAAGTTCCAAAATCAAGGAGTCTGGAGAACCAATCCACACACTTGCCCTACAAGAGGTTCCTGAAGTGCTCTGCCTTGTTACCTGCCTCACAGTTACTCTTGGGAGCAGCCTGTTCTGCTTGGGTCCAGGAGTGCAGCTCCTCACCCAGGGAAAGGACAAAGTTCCAGGAAAAAGACAAGGCCTGTGGACTGACCATCAATGCACATTTTATAGCAAAGGAGGAATGGGAGTCATCGGAATCGGGGAGGGAGACATGGGGGAGCAGGGCTGGATACATGGGTGGATCACAGGTGGGAGGGCCACACCTAAGGAAAACATACTATAGAAAGATGACCCATGATGTAAGAAAATTAAAAAAAAAAATTCAGGAAAAGAACAATAGGTTCCAGGGCCTCCCTGGTGGTGCAAGGGGTTAAGCACCGCACTGTGAAGAAATCCACAGCCTCTGCAGCAGGAGTTCGATCCCTGGGTGGCCAGGGAGAAACCCACATGGCAAGGCAGACCTCTCTTGTCTTACCCGCTGCTCCCCTTGGCAGTGTATTTCGGTCAACCTGCCTGTTCTGTTCCCCACTCTGTCTCCCCTCTCACCCCCCTCATCTCTGGCCTACAGTACCCAAGCTCTTGTATGCATAAATAAATAAATCTTAAAAAAAAAAAAAAGAACAATAGGTTCAAAGACTAGCCTTCTTCTTTCCCTATATAGTTCAGTCAATTAAGGAAATACTTTGAATGCAACTATATAACTAAGCATTTTCTGCGACTTTCAGCCTACTTTTTAGCAAAGTATATTTTCAATGTTGGTTCCCATGTTAAAGAATTTCTTAGGCTTTTCTTTGTCAACCTGAATTTTAAATAGAAACTCATTTCAAAGTGTATATATGTATTGATTTAAATGCCCCGCTCATGTTTATCCTTCTTGTCTTTAGCTGCAGATACCCATGTTTCTCTTTCAAATCAGCCTTCACCTTGTTGTGTGAAATTCCAGCTGAACACTGAAAACCAGTCTGCCTCTCTATGGCTGCCCTCATTTCCTCCACAATCACTGCTCCCACGGTGAGCTGCAGGTCTGGAGAGGTGTTATCAATTTGAAGAGAATTAAGCCATTGAAATAAGCCTTGTTTTCTTATCTCCTCTGAAAAAGTTAAGAGATCACATTTAGACATTTTTTAAAAATCAGGATGTTATTCAATTGTGCTATCTAATGCAGAAATGTTTACATTTCAGATACTTAGATACGTATATTTTCACAAAAATATGCCAGCCATGTTAGACAACTGAGAACAAGAAAGATCACCTTCTTCATACTGATTCTAACAGACTTAGCCTCCACGTAAGTTGAACCTTAACATTCTGGTTTGCAAGAAATATTTTATATTATCTTTCACGAGCAATGATTTAAAAGTACTTGTTTTTAGGCCTCCCTGGTGGCACAGGGGTTAAAGTCTCAGCACAATCAAGCTACTGCCAGCCACTGCCCCACGAGTTAGGTCCCCAGCCAGGGAGCTGACCCACATGGCGAAGCAGACCTCTCCTGTTTCACCCACTGCTCCCCTCAGCAGTGTATTTTAGTCAGTCTGCCTGTTCTGCTCCCCACTCTGTCTCTGGTAAATCCTCTCACCCCCCACACCTCTGTCCTACACCTTAGTTCTTGTATGCATTAAAAAAAATAAAATCTTTAAACAAATAATAAACATAATAAAAGGAAATACATAACCACTGCTTCTCTCCTTTGCTGACTTGTCTTCCTATAACACCGTTATACTGAACAATACTGTCTATCCGCTTTCTCAGTGATGTTTTACAGTTTTCGTTGACCTATTTTTGCATATATTGTTAAATTTATTTTTAATAATTTCATGAATTTAGTGTTTATTACAAATGCTACTACTGCTTTTTAAATTTCAATTTTCTTTTTTTTTAAAGATTTATTTATTTATGCATACAAGAGCTGGGGTACAGGCCAGAGTTGTGGGGAGTAAGAGATTTCACCAGAGATAAGTGGGGAACAGAACAAGCAGACTGACTGTAGTACACTGCTGAGGGGAGCAGCAGGCAGGTCAGGAGAGGTCTGCTGCGCCATGTGGGTTGCTCCCTGGCTAGTCAGGGTATTGAACTCGTGCTGCAGTGGCTGTGGACAGCTTCATAGGTTGCGTCTTAACCTCTTATGCCACCAGGGAGGACCAAATTTCAATTTTCTTTCTTCAATTTTAGTATACAGAAATACTAGTAATTTTTTATTTTTCCATATTGACTCCCGCAGCCTTGCTAACATTACTAATCTCCAAAATTTATTCAAGTTTGCTTTTTTTGTTTTTGGTAGATTCCTCAGGCTTAACCATAAACATGGTCATGTCACCTGCAAAGAAAGTGATCAATCTTTGTATCACAGAAAACTGCATGCAGAATTGTCTTATATGTAGATATGTATTTTTCTGAGACAAGCAAGGTCCACAGCTTTCAACATTTTCATATATATAGCCTCAAGAAAACAAAAACAGAAGAACTTAAAAACCAGTGATTTAAAACATTATAAAATCAATTCTAATGTTTAATTTTAAAAAGCTAGCTACATAATAAAATGTGGTACACAAAGCTTAAGACCAAAGAAAATCTTCCTTATCATGATCAATAAATTTATGACTGGTCTCAGAATACTGAAGAATACTGAATCATAATATATCATTAAGTATTTATATATCATAACTCCTTTAAGTAGCACATATTTATTGTTAATTGTATTTTCCCTAGAGAACTAAAGAATCTAAAGAACTAAAGGATCTGTGAGTCTCCAGCATAATAAACTCTGCTTTATCAGGATCAGAAAATAGAACAATTCTTCAGTGGTCCTTCCCACAAGGTTCCCTGGCAAGTTCTATCAATATTACTAAAGGCATAATACACAACTGATCAACAGGAAAGAAAACTCTACATTGATTTTTTTTTTAAAGATTTATTTATTCATGCATACAAGAACCTGGGTACAGGCCAGACATGCGGGAAGGTGAGAGGATTCACCACAGACAGAGCAGGGAACAGAACAGGCAGACTGACTGAAATACACTGCTGAGGGGAGCAGCAGACGAGACAGGAGAGGTCCACCGTGCCATGTGGGTATCTCACCGGCCAGCCAGGATTGAACCCGTATTGCAGACAGCCCCACAGCACTGCGCTCAACTGCCTGTGCCACCGGGGGGGGGGGGGGGCCTACATTGATTTTTTAAAACATGGCAGCCATGAAAAATTCACCACTGTAACTAGAAATAAGCTTAACTTTCTGGAGCTTCTGGACAAATCTGTATTGTTTCTACAAGTAATAATAGATGTCCTTATGGTTCTTTCCCTTCCCCCAAATTAATTTGATACATAGATTTGTATCCAATTTCCGTTTGATTTATGTCCAGCATACAGTTTTTTAATGAAATTTCTTCTGAGTAAGAATGTTACAAAATTGTTCTAAAGTACATATTACAAATGAAGGGGAGAACAGACACACTGTTTTGAATATAGTCATTATCAAATGTATTAGAAAATGTTCAGAAAAAAGTATATAAACCCTGTTGGAAAGACTCTGATGTAGAATTCTTTGCTCTGGGAGACCAAACTGAATTCCACTTTTATCACATTAGATAAAGTTTAATAAAACACCCAGATTCTTTTTAATTTAGTACCTAGAACTATTATGATTATTTTTTTAGGAAGTTTTTTTAAGATATATTTTTATTTATGCATACAAGAACTGGGGAATAAGTGAGGGGTGAGAGGATTCACCAGAGACAGAGTGGGTAGTAGAACAGGCAGATCTACTGAAACACATTGCTAAGGGGAGCAGTAGGCAAGACAGGAGAGGTCTGCTGCGCCATATGTGGGTTAGCTCCCTGGCCAGGGATCAAACTCAGGCCAAAGTGGTGACAGCATGATAGAGCTGAGACTTAACACCTATACCACCGGGGAGGCCCCATAACTTAATTATTATCACAAAAGAAGTTTTATTTTATTTTAGTCTAATAAAATATTTTCAGCCATCAAATAAATTTTACTTATTAAAGTACTTTTATGCAGATTATATCATGAGTTTTTGTCACACAAAGATGAACTTTAGAAAGAATTCATTTATCATTCCCCTACACATCAATAGGCAAGTAGAAATATAATAAAAAAAACCATGAAATCATAATAGCAGCATTAAAAAGCATCTAGAGGGTCTTCCTGGTGGCACAAGGGGTTAAGTCTCACCACAATCAAGCTATTGCCAGCCACTGCAGTATGAATTTGATCAGCCGCCACAAGGTGTAGCAAACTTCCGTCTCGCCTGCTGCTCCCCTCAGCAGTGTATTTCAGTCCGTCTGCCTGTACTGCTCCCCACTCTGTCTCTGGTGAATCCTCTCACCCCCCACCCCTGCAACTCTGGCCTACACCCCAGTTCTTATATGCATAAATAAACAAATAAATCTTTAAAAAAATTAGTCAAAGCATACTCACACAATTTGTGCACTTCATATGTGCTATCTCAACTAAAATAAAAAAAAATGCAGGGCCTCCCCGGTGGCGCAGCGGTTGAGCGCTGGGTTGCGAAGCTGCCCGCAGCCTCTGCGGTGCCGGTTCGATCCCCAGCTGCTCCCCGGCCACCAGAGGAGGGTCCCGCATGGCGCGCAGACCTCTCCTGCCGCCCGCTGCTCCCCTCAGCAGTGTACTTCGGTCCTTCTGCCTGCTCTGCTCCCCGCTCTGCCTCTGGTGAATTCTCTCACCCTCCCGCGCTTCTGACTGTACCCAGTGCTTGTATAAACAAACAAACAAATAAATAAATAAATAACATGCCTCTATATAAAAAAAAATAATTAAAAAAAAAAATGCAGAATTCTATATCTCAGAAAAATAGAAATATTACAACAAATCAAAATTTCTAACTCAAAAAAGCTTAAAAGGGACAACAATAAAGATCTAAAAAAAAGATGAGCTATATTATTATGAATGTGATAATTTAACATTGCTATTCTTATCTGAATATATAAATTCAATGTAATTCCATCAGGAATTTTTGAGGAATTCAATTAACTTATTCTAAAATGTATGTTGAATAAAGGCGCATAAAAAGCTAAGACAATTTTGGGCCTCCCTGGTGGTGCAAGCGTTGGATCTCAGCACTATCAAACTATTGACAGCCACTGAGCCATGAGTTTGATCTCTCGCCAGGGAGCTAACCCATATGGCACAGCAGACCTCTCCTGCCGCCTGCTGCTCCCCTTAGCAGTGAATTTCAGTAGATCCGCCTGTTGTGCTCCCCACTCTGTCTCTGGCCTACACCCCAGTTCTTATATGCATAAATTAAAAAATCTTTAAAAAAAAAAGCTAAGACAACTTTGAAAAAACAAAAACAGAGGGAATCCTTATCAAATATTATCTTATACCATAAACAACAAAACAATTTGTCTCTGGGGGAGGAATAGAGACTAAAGGGATACCACTAAAACTAATCCACTTAGATATGGGAAGTTGAGAAACAATAGACTGTTTAATAAATAAACGCTGGGAAGACTGACTCACTCTAAGAATAATAAATTAAGAGGCTCAATGCCTTAAGTAAAATAAAAATATCGATTCCATATGTTTCAAAGACCTTAAAGTATGAAGCAAATAGAAGAAAATACAGAAGAATAGCTTTGTGAACTTCTGGTAGAAATGGATGTCTAAAACTAGGTTCAAAAGGTAAAAAAATGATGAACTAAAAGAATTTTGGTTGGGGTGGAAGGAAGTCAATGTACTATGGTAGAGGATTACTGGTGCTTTTATGGTGGGTATAGTATATAACATACATTTGAGGAGGTGTAAACTAATACACCTCAAACACATACAGTGTTTAACCAATGTTACCTCAATAAACACTAATTTTTTTTTTTAACATTTTTTTTTTTTTATTTATACAAGAGCTGGGGTACAGGCCAGAGGCGTGGGAGGGTGAGAGGATTCACCAAAGACAGAGCGGGGAGCAGAACAGGCAGACGGACTGAAAGCACTGCTGAGGGGAGCAGCGGGTGAGACAGCAGAGGTCTGCTGCACCATGTGGGTATCTCCCTGGCCGGCCGGGAATTGAACCCGTGGTGCAGAGGCTGCAGACAGCTTCACAGCACTGCATTCAACCCGCTGTGCCACCAGGGAGGTGCAATTTTTTTTATATATCTGAAAGGGCAGGTTACTATAAAAAAGGAAAGTAAGGGACACTTGACCAAACACAAGAAAGCAGAAATAGCTGCCCCTGAAAGGGACAGATGTGCTAAAAGAGACTCCTGCATAAACACAGGCGAGCTGTCTTGGAAGGAGAGCTACCGCTCCTGTTTTGCAAAGAGAAAAGGCTAGTGAAGAGAAACACCTGCATAGTCAGTCACAAATGGGTAGGAGAGCTGCCAAACATATTTTTTTTTAAATGAGGAAAGTAAAATAAAAATTATTGTCAAAGGATAGCATAAACAAAATTAAGGCACAGGGCCTCCTTGGTGACACAGGGATTAAAGACAGTGCTATCAAGCTATCACCAGCCACTGCAGCACAAGTTCAAGCCTGGGCCAGGGAGCTACCCACATGGCATAGCAGACCTCTCCTACCTCACCTGCTGCTCCCCTCAGCAGTGTATTTCAATAGATCTGCCTGTTCTGTTACCCACTCTCTCTGGTGAATCCTCTCACACACCCTCCCCCACCTCCGCACCTCTAGCCTACACCACAGTTCTTGTATGCTTACATAAATAAATCTAAAAAAAAAAAAAATTAAGGCATAACAGACTTGGGAGAGAAAAGATGCACGCTAGGCCTCCCTAGTGGCGCAAGGGGTTGAGACATGCCTATGAGGCTGTCCGCAGCCACTGCAGCACGAGTTTAATCCCCGGCCAGAGAGCTACCTACATGGTACAGCAGACTTCTGTCTCACCCACTGCTCCCTTCAGCAGCGTATTTCAGTCAGTCTGCCTGTTCTGCTCCCCACGCTGTCTCTGGTGAATCCTCTCAACCCCCCCCCACCTCTGGCCTGTACCCCAGTTCTTGCATGCATAAATAAATCTTTAAAAGAAAATATGCATGCCAAAGACAGACAAGGGACTAATTACTAAGGATTAATAACTCTTGCAAATCTCCTCCACCCACCAACCAAAAAAGGCAAGAAATCCAATGGGAAGTAAAAGATCATAAAAAAAATCACAAAAGTAGAAATGCAATTGATTAACAAGTATATGAAGAGCTGCTCAACCTCAATCATTACATTACAGAGAAATGTAAATTAAAACAGACCAAAACCACATAATATCATTTTTATGGCAATCACGTTGGCAAATATTTTCAAACATCAGAGAATAATGGTTATTGGTGGGAATCTGGGGGAACTAGTAATTCCTGTTTACCTTACTCCTGGTTACAGTGGTGCTGGGAAGCAACTGGCAGTATTGAGTAAAATTAAGAATATGTGTATATGATTATAACCAAGCATTCCTGAAAACATTTCGCCAGAGAAACCCTCGCATAGGTCCAAAAGATGATGAATGAAGGCATTCATCATATAAACATGAGGAGTTAAGACTTCTTACTGGAGTTCAACACCAGGATAATGATCTAATCATGGTAAATCTTTACCATGGATTATACCGCAATTAAAAGCAATCCAATTATGGGCCTCCCCTGGTGGCACAGCGGTTGAGCGCTGGGCTGCGAGGCTGCCCGCAGCCTCTGCAGCGCTGGTTCATTCCCCGGCTGCCAGCGTGGGTCCCACAAAAAAAAAAAAAAGCAATCCAATGAAATCTATAAATACCAAAATGCTATCTTGTAAAAGCATATATACAAAGCAAGACTGTGTAATTTATGAAGACACACATATATATCTGATATACCAAATACATCAGTGGGTACCAGAGTATTATGTATCACTAATAAGGGGAAAAGTAAAACAGAGTGAGAGTAGCCTTGCACAGCCCATTGATGAATATGTGCCATGAATTCATTACATTTTTGTGACTCAACTCCCTATAACTTGGTCTCCCTTAAAAAAGCTCACCCTTATGATGAAGAAATAAAGAAACTAACAGTTTAATACTATAAATTAATCCACAAATGACAAAAAGTCTACCATCTATTTTATATTTCTAACTCTTATCTATCCTAGTTATATCTAAAGAGAAACTTGATTTCATAAGCTTCTCAAAATTAATATACCTGAAAAGATTAGTATTTGTATATCCTTCCATGTGAGTCCTTGTGATTCACTGAGGCTGTAGTTTAAGTTTCCTCTCAATCAATCCAAGAAGGATCAGTATGATCAAGCAAAGCAGGTTCCAAAGGCAGGAAGCAGAAGCAGTATGATGTTATGGAAGTACCTTTGTGAACAGTCCCTTTTGCTGTTGTAGACCCTTGAGGCAACCCTTCAATATAGGTGGTTGGCAACAAGTCTGCTGAGATAGGCTGACCTTGTAGCTTTTGTAGTCTCTCTTGTACAGCACTGGTCAGGTCTACATAAGCCTCATCAATACTGGCACGTTCAATCACAGCAAAACGAGACATTACCTTCATCACTTCAACACTAGCTTCCCGGTACCTAAAAAGTATAAGGATTACATGTGTAGGCAATAAATGGAGGCAACTCTGAGACTGTCAGCCCCATTTCCTCCCTCTCAAAATGTAACACTGACATATATAATCACTGTAAGGTCTCCTTAAAAAGAGGAGTGGCTTAACAGAGACTAGGTAGTAACCCAACTGAAGGGGGTCAATGATCAGGCAGATAACAGAAAGAAAAATAACGATGGAGGCAAACATTCTTAGTGTGATTCTAGAACTACACCGAGGTAAAAAAAAAAAAAAAAAGTACCCAGGCCACAAATATATCTATGTAAAAAAAATGCTTCACACTCATTTTAAGTAGAAAACATTTTACTATGTGTAGGGGCAGGAACTGGGCACTGAGCAGGTTATCTATGGTCCATCAGACCGGGTAAAGGAGTCGTCAGAGTCCTCAGTGGCTTTTGCAGGTTTTTTATTTAGATTTACCAGGCACATGGCAGGCAGGCCTCCCAGCCCCCAGCAAGTCTTCACTTTATCTGGGCTCTCTGGCCTTCTCACGTGTTCTCTCTGCTCCTCTCACGGCTCTGCTTCTCTCTCAGCTTCTCTTTCTCTCAGCTTCTGCTGGCGTCCCCGTGACACCGCCCTTAAAAGCCCAGCCTCTCAGCCCAGGTGTACCCACTCCAGGTGCACTCCATCAGGCATGCATTCAGGACCACAGGGTTCCCTCATTTATCCTAATGGCGGAAGGGCAGAAAAGCCTGATACTTTTTCTTTACCCTACACTATGATCACTGATTCCTGTTGTTTTTATACATCTACTGCAGAGTATTCTGCTTCTACATTTGTCAGGATGGCACGTCTCATAATAAATAAAATGACATGGATACACACACACAGAGAGAGAGAGAGAGAGAGAAAGAAAGAGGGAAAGAGAGAGAGAGAGAGAGAGAGAGAGAGAGAGAGAGAGAGAGAAAAGTTCTATTTCTCCTGGGAGATAAACTAACATTCAAATTATTAAGTTGAAGATAAGCACCTGGAATGTGGTTGCTGTATCTGGGCAGGCAGACTGCCTTCCCCAGGGGATACCAATCTCACCATAAACCTTCTATTCAAACCATAACAAGCAGCTCCTCAGCTGTGTATAGCTAGTTTTCCATGGTAATACGTGGATATTTTCTTTGCTTTGTACTTGCTATGGAATTTAAAGCTAGTTTGTTATTCCTGCTGAACTCATTTTATTTACCACAAAAATAGAAATATTTGCACCTCTTCACTAAGAGATCTATAAAAACAAGTATAATGTTCTAGAGCATTCTAAAGTGACAGTCAGAGAACTACAAAATGATTTGGCTTTTTTTCTTTTAATTATTTGGTTTGGAGAAGAGAGCAGTCAGACCTCAAAGTTAAAAAAAAAAAGCATCAACTTGCACAAGACTATGAGCACTACATACTAACACACAAAGTCAGGAAAGGATATTCTATTGCAGTACTTATTCCTTCACAGCCTCTTGAGCAAATCACTCCAAGTTATTAAGAATATTTAATAAATACTTAACATATATGCACTTTCACAATTTTATTTTTATAATCAGGTATCTAAAGTTAATAATTTTTAATTGCTTTATTTTATTATCTTTCTGGTCTACAAACTTATTCCTAAATTTTCTAAAAGTGCCTTTGTTCATTACTTGATGAATAACTTAAGAGTAAAATAAATGATCCAGTTAAAAGCTGGCAGAGTATAGCATTTCAAAATCACATTCAGAAGTCAACAAAATAAATTTCAAGGAAGTTTATGTTATCTTTATTAGCATAAAATTCTATTCAAAACTATGTAGCATATGTCTATTAGCTAAATTGATTCTAATTTAGGGCTAAGGTATTATCCTCCAGTCAAATCTGTCTTCTGACAATAACTCTGATGTGAGGTTGTCTATAACTCCACCTCAGACTTTTAATTCATAGGTGAATTCAGCAATATCTCAAGTCCCAAGTCAAAGCACACCACACCACACAGTATAGTGTACTATGAAACTGTGGATGCTGGAATCTAAAAAAAATTGAATGCTCAATCTTCTACTTCCTAGCTATGTGAACTAATTTAACCTCTCTAATATGTTTCCTGATCTGAAGAAGGGAAAGATGGTACTAGAACCAACTTTATATGAGGTTTAAAAGATATATTGCTATGGAGAGCTTAATACAGTACATAGTACATGGACAAATGCTCAATACATACTAGCTATTAGAATAATGATAAAGCCTGGGACTTACATATACCTCCATAGACTATATACATGTTTCCCACTCCAAGGCTAACATAAAATTTGCAGAAGACAGCTCAGTTCAAAAACAGATAAGTTATTCTAGTTTGAGACTGCTTATTTCTGGCAAATAGTGCTAAATATTGCATTAGAATATCAGTCTGATTCAGCATTCTCTAGAAAAACTTAGTTTCATTGTCAACTATATTTCAAACAGGTAAGACTTTTGACCTGAGAACTTGGGAATTGGCATTAATTTTTAATTATAACATCCAATTTTTAAATCATTAAGAAACTGAGTGTCAAGAGCAGCAATTGTTAGATAATGACTCTAATTTATTCCTCAAACACAATATCAAAATCTGTTTTCATTTCACACAGAAAGTTGAAAGCTAACCAACTCCTAGCTTCATGGAATATTAGTTCTGATTTCTATTCCCCTTAAACTATCTTTTCTTCTTACTTGGTGAGGTTAGCTTTCCCACGCAACTCACGAACTTGTGCCAGTAGAAGATCAGGACATAACTTCTTAGCATCGTCTGCCCACATGTTTCTAGTGACGCCAAATGCACGGGCTTCATAACTCACTGCAATTATTCTAAGGTTAGAGAAAAAGGGGAACAGAAAAATGTTTCATGATCACAAAATTAACATGAATAGAATACAAATATAATAATAGAAACTTTCTGGTCACAGATGCTATTACTCAATCGCAAACGCAGCAGCTCAGAAATCTCAAAAAATAGAACCTAGGTTAGTGTCATGTATTCTTATAAAGTAGCACAAGAACTGTACAGTATCTTACAAGTATCCTTGACAGTTACAAGAATAACAGTGATACATACCCACCACCTTTCCATGATTTGTACTGCACAACTGCACAAGGTTTATTCCTCAAATGAGGATTTTGCCGCTGCTCCACTTGAACAAAAAAACAGTCCATGTCCACTAGAGCAACTACTCGGTCCTGTCCATTAGCCATTTGTCTGTAAGGCAATATTTTATGCACAGTTAGAAAGGACACCTAATCCAAAGTGCCAAAAAAATTTTTATTTTCATTCTGCTACTGCCAAATTTCCATAAGCATGGGAATACAGAAACAAATAAAAACAAAATCGGCATTTTCATACACTGCTGGCAAAATTACAAAAAGGTACAATTTTAGGAATGTAATAAGTATTAAAAAAATTGGGGGGGGGGACCTCCCTGGTGGCATAAGGGATTAAGATGCAACCGATGAAGGGCCTCCCCGGTGGCGCAGCAGTTGAGCGCTGGGTTGCGAAGCTGCCCGCAGCCTCTGCAGCGCTGGTTCGATCCCCGGCTGCTCCCCGGCTGCTCCCCGGCTGCTCCCCGGCTGCTCCCCGGCCACCGGAGGAGGGTCCCACATGGCGCGCAGACCTCTCCTGCCGCCCGCTGCTCCCCTCGGCAGTGTACTTCGGTCCTTCTGCCTGCTCTGCTCCCCGCTCTGGCTCTGGTGAATTCTCTCACCCTCCCGCGCTTCTGACTGTACCCAGTGCATGTATAAACAAAACAAATAAATAAATAACATGCCTCTATTTAAAAAAAAAAAAAAAAAAGAAGATGCAACCGATGAAGCTATCTTCAGCCGCTGCAGCATGAGTTCGATCCCAGGCCAGGGAGATACCGACATGGCACAGCAGACCTCTCCTGACTCGCCTGCCGCTCCCCTCAGCAGTGTATTTCACTCAATATGCCTGTTCTGTTCCCCACTCTGTCTCTGCTGAATCTTCTTACCCCCCACACCTCTGGCCTGTACCCCAGCACTTGTATGCATAAAAAATATTTTAAAAAAATTTTTTAAATTCCCATTCTCCAAAGGAATAGTCTGCTTCACAAAAGAAGATATATACTGGTCAATACATGAAAATGGACTCATTAGTTATGGGGAAATGCAAATTAAAACCACAATACACACAAATGGGGGGGGAAGCCAACCGTCAATCTTACTGATAAATCTCAGTATAAAAAAGTTCAGGAAAAAGATAAACCAAAAATGATATATAAAATATAGGGCCTCCCCTGGGGGCACAGCGGTTGAGCGCTGGGCTGCGAGGCTGCCCACAACCTCTGCAGCGCCCGTTCGTTCCCCGGTCGCCGGCGAGGGTCCCACCAAAAAAAAAAAAAAGATCTATAAAATATAAATGATATATAGCACTCGTGGCATTTTTTCTTTTTAAATATTTTGGATTTACAGAAAAGTTGCAAAAATAGAGTTCTCACTTTACATAGAACAATTATTAAAACTAAAGAATGGGGCCTCCTTGGTGGCTTGAGGAGCTAAGAACAGCACTATGAAGCTATCCGCAGCCTCTGCAGCACAAGTTCGCTCCCCGCGCAGGCAGGGAGCTACCCACATGGTACAGGAGACCTCTCCTGTCTCGCCTGCTGCTCCCCAAAGCAGTGTATTTCAGTCAGTCTGCCTGTTTTGTTCCCCACTCTGTCTCTGGCAAATCCTCTCACCCCCCGCACCTCTGGCCTGTACCCCAGTTCTTGTATGCATAAATAAATAAATCTTAAAAAACAAAAACTAAAGAATGAACACTGGTATAATATTCAACTACATACTTGAATTTCACTGGTTATCCCATTAATGTCCTTTTTCTGTTCTAGGATCCAACCCTTAAGGTACAATGTCTCCTTAGTATCCTCTAATCTGTGACACTTTGTTGGGATTTCCCTTGGGGTTTTTTGTTGTTGTTGTTTTTTTAAAGATTTATTTATGCATACAAGAGCTGGGGTACAGGCCAGAGGCCGGGGGAGGGAGGTGTGAGTATTCACCAGAGACAGAGTGGGGAACAGAACAGGCAGATTGACCAAAGTACAGTACTAAGGGGAGCAGCGGGCGAGTCAGGAGAGGTCTGCTGCGCCATGTGGGTAACTCCCTGGCTGGCCAGGAATCGAACTCGTGCTACAGTGGCTGTGGATAGCTTCATATGTTGCGTCTTAATACTTGCGCCACCAGGGAGGCCCATGGATTTCCCTTGTTTTTCATTTTTGAAGAGAACTAGTCAATTACTTTGAGAATATTTCTCAAGTTACCTTTGTTGTTTTCTCTTGATCAGATTGAAGTTACACATTTTTGGTAAGAATATTATGGAAGTGATGTGCTCTTTTTGGTGTATCATTGGGAGGTACATGATGTCAATATGTCTTGTTACTGCTGATTTTTTTTAAAGATTTATTTATTTATGATCATTTATTTATTTATGATTTATTTATGATTACAAGAACAGGGCACAGGCCAGAGGTGCGAGGATTTGCCAGAGACAGAGGGGAACAGAACAGGCAGACTGACCAAAATACACTGCTGAGGGGAGCAGCAGGCGAGTCAGAAGAGGTCTGCTGCGCCATGTGGGTAGCTCTTTGGCCAGGGATAGAGCTGGTGCTGCAGAGGCTGCAGACAGCTTCACAGCGCTATGCTCAACTCACTGTGCCACCAGGGAGGCCCCTACTGCTGATACTAGCCACGATCATTTAGTTGAAATGGTATTTGCAGGTTTCTCACTGTAAAGTTACTATTTTTCCTTTTGTACCTAGTATCTTATGACAATTAAAAAACAATAAAAAACAATACTACATACTATTCACAGATATGAATGGTAACAAATTCCCATACATACTTGAGAATATAAATAGACTAGTGATACTACTTAACATTTTTAGGAGTCTGGAAGTACTAATATAAATTAAACCAGTGACTCCAAAACTTAGTTGCAATTTGGAATCACCTAGGAACCTTAATAACATCAATATCTGACTTCTACTACCAGACATCCTAACTTGTTTGGTATGGGTGTTAGGAGCATTGTGGTTTTTAAAAGCTCTTCAGGCAATTCTAATATGTAGCAGGGGTCAGCAACCACTGACTTAAAGTAAACATTTATGGAAACACCAGTAATTCATTATTTAAATATGAGAAACCAGGTTACACACTTGAGTAAGCACTCAACTGTATTCTAAAAAAAAGTGTCAAGAATTAACATACACTTTGAAAAAGTGTCACGCAACTACAAAGCTGAAAGATCAGTAAAACAATGAATTTTAAAAATCAGAGTAGTGAAGGCATAATTTCTTATAAATTCCAGGGGACCGCTCACCTACAGCAGGCAGAAAGTGATACTTTATAAACATTTACGTGAGAAATCAAAGTGGTCTCAGTGTAGCTTGAACAGATAACGCCAGAAAAAAAAAAAAATTAGTACATGCAAGAGATCTCTAAAGATGGAAAATGAAGCATTCTGCCTCGTGTCTAAATAGGGATTACGCTACTTTTGTCTTTAACACTTCAAAGTGGCAAAAATGCACAAACCTTCAGTAATCGCAATTATTAATAATCTTCAAGTACCTCGATTTATCCCGATCTATACAAATACGGTGCTGATCAACTGATGACACACTCAAGAAAAGCAAACACAGGTAAGCAGTTTAGTCTCAATGTTGTGACCAGCCACTGCTACATCAAAAAACCAACAGGCAACACGAAAAGTCCGAACACAGTGATACCGAACGGTTCTAAATTCTCTTACCAAAGTGGCAAACACCTGGCCAAACCGCCAACCGCAGACGCCGCGGATGCCGGGCTCGGTGTCGTCCACCACCGTGAAGAAGAAGGCGACTTGCCACAAGCAGGCCTGTCGGTTTCGAAAGAAACGGTTTCGACGGAGCACCCGACGGAGGGTAGCAGAGGATCCTCGCCGCGGCAAACGCCCGCGCAGCCCTGAGGGGTTCGGCTCAGGCCACCGACTAGCCGGCCCGCGCTCCTGACAGAAACTACACCCCGCGCGCAGCCGGAGGGCCGTTGACGCGCGTGCGCAGTGCAGCCCTTCCGTCTCCCGCTCCGCCCACCGAGGAGCAACCGTCACAAGAGAGTCGCCACTTCCGCGGGCGCATGCGCAGTGGCGAGTCGGGCGCGTGCGCAGCACCCTGTCCTTCCCGGCTGGAGCTTCTGGCCCTCACGCTCCTCCTCCAGCTCCGCACCCCCCCCTCTCCCAAAGCCTGCCGCGGCCCGGTACCAGCGTGTGGTCCCGCCTAGGCAGCCGTCCGGTCCTCGTGCTCCCGGGACAGCCGTGGAGCGTGTTAGCGGCGCGTGGCGCTAGCCATGGCGATGGATCAAGTGAACGCGCTGTGCGAGCAGCTGGTGAAGGCAGTGACGGTCATGATGGACCCCAGCTCCACCCAGCGCTACCGGCTGGAAGCCCTCAAGGTAGCTGGGGTCTGGCGCCCCGGGCCTGCCGCGAGATCCTCTCCCAGCCCTAGCAGACCCGACACCGCCAAAACCCTGGTGGTCTCTCGCCCACGTTGCCCCAGGACCTCCCTCCCCAGTCCCAGGGGTCGGATGGGGGGGTGCTTCCCCTCGCCGCCTTCTGCCTCTTCCCACTCCCAACCTTTTTTGCTTGCCGAGCCTGCCTTTTCCCCCGGGGCGCTCGGGTGCGTAAATGCTTCTCATCCCACCACTTTTCGCTGCTCTGTCTTATCCTTCTACCACTTCTGTTCACTCTAGTCCGCAACACCAACATCTCCGCAGCCGGCTGAACGTATTTTACCCCCCAAAGCCCCACATCCTCGCATCCCTTTGCCTTTCCTAGGCGCACGTGCCCATCCTGTCCCCGACAACGGCCACATTCTTTATGGTCTCCCCACGCTAAGTGTTACCCTGCTGACCCGCTCTAACCGAGCCCCAGCCCCTCTGGTGCCCCTTTGCTACATCTTTACGCACCTCTAACTTTCTACTGTGTCTTAGGTATTTCTGGGCTAATTCTCATAACCAACGCCGCCCCCCCCCCATGTTTCTTAGGGTGATATTCTTAGGCTATTTTGCGCAAAGATGAACTTCCACCACTTACTTTGCATTAAACAAGGGCACTTTGGTTTCCTGAAAGTAATGTCTTTGAGTCCCAGATGCTGTGCTCCCGACTTGTGTTTTGCTGTTTGGGAATGCTAATACCATAAATATGAACTAGTTCTCACCTCAAACAATGTATGTGAACTATTAGAAATGACCACTAGGAAAAAATTACTTGTGTTCTACGTGTTTTAAGTGATGTAACTTCAAAAAGTGAAGTGAGCACCGCTTGAAAGAAACTTTACAATACAGTTGTAACAATTTATTATGAAATGTTAAAAATAGACACAAAAGTATATCCTACAATGATCTTGTATATGTCCATCACCTAAACTCGGCAGTTACGAAGATTTTACATTTACTTTATCTCTTCACCAAAGGTTTCTAAAGCAAAACCTCGAAATTGTCATTTCAAGCCATTATACTGAAGGGGTATCTGACAAAAAGCTTTTTATTCATTTAGATAAGGTTTGTTTTTTGTTTTTATGTTACTTGACTGTAGCATGGGGAATCTGGAACTACCCAACTAAAGGGAATGTTTGTTTCTTTATTGCTATGATGTTGAGCTAGATTTTGCAACTTAAAAGTATAGCTTAGGTTAGTTTCTTAAGATGAAGGGTTTTTTTTTAGTTCTCACCTTCTCTTGGCTCCCAAGGGAAACAGTTAGCTGTTTTTTCTTTCAGTTTTGTGAAGAGTTTAAAGAAAAGTGCCCTATCTGTGTTCCCTGTGGCTTGAGGTTGGCTGAGAAAACACAAATTGCCATCGTCAGGCATTTTGGCCTTCAGATCCTGGAACATGTTGTCAAGTAAGGAACTTTTGGATGTTACTACTGAAGTATGTGAGAAAGCAAATCTTTATTTCTTATATAACTCATAGAGATACTCTTTAGGTGAGTTGAAAAGAACAATCCCCAAGAAGAAATGAATGATCCCCAAAAGGTTATTAGAACCTCATGGGAATTCTCCTTTAGGACTTAACCTTTTTCTTCTTCTATGTAAAGTTGTAATTTCTTCTGTGTAAAATGCAAGGTACATAGAGTACTTAGCTTTCCATGAATGTTTGCTAATAGCTGCTAATCATTCAACCAGCATTTATTGAGCTGCTACTATATGCCTGACCTCAAAAAAAAAAAAATTAAAGGCACAATGCCTAATCAGAGATTGATTTACCTATACATTGATTTTTTTTTTATTAAGTTTGAAGGTGTGCGATCTCTTTACAGCCCAGCCAAAGCAGGATTATATGACAGTAACTGAAAACCCCTCCTAACTTGAGTCTCCTACCCACAGTGCTTGTCAGAAGAATCAGCTTGTAAGATTTAGCCTTGTTTTTTTGCTGGATTTGTGTTATTACCTTGTAACCAGCACAGAAATGGAGTTAGTGTTATCAAGATTATATTTTTCCAATTATGTTGTTACATTTCCCCCAGATGTATTTGCTTTTGGTCTTTGAAATTAAAGGGAAAAGCTGATTTGTGCACAAATTCTTTATTCTGATTAATGAACTGCTGTCTATATAAAACTCTTACCCAAGAATTTTTCTTCTTTTAACATTTTGGTTAAATATGGACTGATTTTTTATTCTTTGAAGAATACAAAATCAAAAGTATAGTTGCTTAATGAAATCACCAACATAATCTTAACAGAGGAATCAAAACTAGTCTCTTGTGAAAAGAAGACTTCTAATGTGGTTCTGTTGACTTTATGCATTTTGGTGGCCAGGTTTCGATGGAACAGCATGTCTCGATTGGAGAAGGTCTATCTGAAGAACAGTGTCATGGAGCTGATTGCAAATGTAAGGAATGGTTGCTTGGAAGACTTAATGTTTCCAAGGTAGCTTAGACAAAGTGTGACTTCTTCAGTGTAGCATTTATATAAAAATTCACTGGTTCTACATAAGTCAAATCAGATACTTTTTATAATATTAAATGTTATCTTTAAGGTAGAAAGAACCATCACCACAAGAATCATAATTCTTCACATTTTCATTACTAGGCTTAATTAATCCCTTATGTGTTGAGTTCTACTTTTTTTTTTAAAGATTTATTTATTAATGCACACAAGAACTAGGGTACAGGCCAGAGGTTTGGGGGGTGAGAGACCTACCAGAGAGAGAGTGGGGAACAGAACAGGCAGATTGAGTGAAATACACTGCTGAGGGGAGCAGCGGATAATTCAGTAGAGGCCTACTGTGCCATGTGGGTTGCTCCCTGGCCACCGGGGATCGAACTTGTGCTGCAGTGGCTGCGGATAACTTCATAGATTGCATCTTAACTCCTTGCGCCACCAGGGAGGCCCGTACTTTTATTTTTTTAAGATTGATTTCTATTTATTTCTGCATACAAGAACTGGGGTACAGAGGTACAGGGGAGTGAGAGGATTCACCAGAGCAGAGTGGGGAGCAGAACAGGTAGACCTGCTGAAATACACTGTTCAGAGGAACAAGGCGGCGAGACAGGAGAGGTCTGCTGTGCCGTGTGGGTCAGCTCCCTGGCCAGGGATCCAATTCATGCTGCAGTGGCTGGCAGTCGTTGGTGATAGCTTGATAGCCCTAAATTATATTGAAACTCTGTCCACTTTACTCTTTGTTTCCTTTCATTCCAGAGTGAACTATTATGTATGATACTAGCTATAAATATATGCAGGATGAATTTGTTTCAGGAGAATATAATTTGTTTCAAGAATGATTCATTTCAAGAATATGACTTTAAACATGTTTTAAATTTATTGGTTTTTTAAAAGATTTATTTTTATTTATTTTTGCATACCAGAACTGGGGCGTAGGCCAGAGGTGCAGGGTGTGAGAGGATTCACCAGAGACAGAATGGGAGCAGAACAGCCAGATCTACTGAAATACACTGCTGAGGGGAGCAGTGGGTGCGGCAGGAGAGGTCTGCTGCGCCATGTGGGTTAGCTCGCTGGCTGGGGATCGAAGTTGCAGTGGCTGGCAATAGCTTGATAGCACTGAGACTTTAACCCCTGAACCACCAGGGAGGTCCATGTTGTTTTAACCAAAGGCATAAAAAACGGAATTCCTACCCCTTTCTCATTCCAAAGTCTGTGCCTTTAATATTAAAAAAAAATTACCTTCCAATTTTTTTAATTAACTTAGCTTGTATTTTGCTAGTTCTGAAGGACTCGACAGAAGTCATAATTTATTAATCATGTTATGGGTTTCACCCCCACTATCAACTTTCCTAATTGGCATGATTTGATAGGTTATTTTTTGGGTCTGGGAACCCTCAAAAACTTTTCCATATAAATTACTGTAATAGCACTCCTGTACTTATAAAATAATTTACCAAATCATGCCAATAGGAATGTTCTACTTTTGGATACTGGAGGAAACCTCTATCAAACTTAGAAGAACAAAACCCAATAATGACCGTTCTGACTCTTCTAATACTAGGACTACTGGTAAACTATTCAGTTGCTGCCCCTTTTATCAGTCTCTCAATATTCTCTTTATTTCTATACTCTTCTACCAGTGTTGGCCCTCCCACAAAATGAAATGACCAATGAGTCTCTTCAGTTTATAAAGGGAAACAATAATGTCTTCCTTGCTCTGTGACAGCCATTTTATTAGCTGATGCAACTCTTACTTAAGCTTTAAGTGGGAAGAATGACTAGTGAGAATGCAGGACAAGTGACTCAGATACGGAGAACAGGTTTGTTTATTCTGTTTAAAAAGCAGGCCTGCTGATGAGTTTTGTACACCTTTACGGCCCAGTTTTTTTTTTCCTTGAATTCAATCTAGCAGATCTCTTAATGTCTCTTCTTCTTTCTCAGGGAACACTGGACATTTTGGAAGAGGAGAATCATATTAAAGATGTTCTATCTAGAATTGTAGTAGAAATGATCAAGCGGGAGTGGCCACAGCACTGGCCTGACATGCTTATAGAATTGGACACTCTTTCTAAACAAGGGGTATGGAATATAGCTGAATCAGTTCAGTTTCCTTTTGGTTTTTTTTTTTTAGGGTTTTTTGTTTGTTTGTTTGTTTTGGCTCTTCAGGGGTTTTTTGTTTTGTCAACAGAAAAGAGCCTTTGGGTATCCCTATAATGAAAAATGTTTTAGTTTAATTTAGCTTATTTCTAATGTTCTAGGAAACACAGACAGAATTAGTGATGTTTATCCTTTTGCGACTGGCAGAGGACGTAGTGACCTTTCAGACATTACCCCCTCAAAGAAGAAGGGATATCCAACAAACATTAACCCAGAACATGGAAAGGATCTTCAGCTTTCTACTAAACACCCTTCAAGAAAATGTAAATCAGTACCGGCAAGCGGTAAGGGGATACCCTATCTCTCAAAAGTCCTGTTTTCTTCTATGAGCGAATTTTTTTGTTTGTTTTTTAAAGTTAATTTTCAGCAAGGAACTAGGATATATCTAGTTCAACAACAACAAAGTCATTTTATGAGCTAAGAAGAAACAGATAACAGGAAAAAGTGGAACTAATTTTCTAAGAAATTCAATTCAATGAATTTCATGTGTTAGGGAAAAGTCTTTGTACAGTAAGAAAATTCTTAAAATAGTGTAAAAGTGAAAGTTAACTCCTAATATTTAAAAATTTCTAATAGGTCAGGATAATTATCCTTGTTATTTTTTATATCCCATTTAGGCCTGACCTCTTTTTCAGTGAAAACTTCGAAGTTATATTAACCTTGGCTACATGATCCCTTGTATTTTATTCCTCATGAGGATTTTCTTCTGCAGAAAAGAGCAAGCTGGATAAAGATACTGTCTTTCAACTTTTATGGTATTTAGCAGAGAGCCTTCAGAAGGAGACAGTGTGAAATTAGCCTAGTTTGGTGGTTCTCAGTGGGGGTGGTTTTGCCCCCCAGGTTGTCACAATAAGAGTGGGTACTGGCATCTAGCAGGTGGAGGCAAAGATGTTGCCAAACCTTCCATAATCCACAGAACAGTCCCCATTGATAAAGAATTACCCAATCCAAAATGTTGACAGTGCTGAGTAATAACTCTGATTTAGAATTCTCATAATACATACTTAACATATTAGGATTAATTAAAATTAGTTATTTTTTGTGTCCACAGCAGTTTCATTAGGTTTATTTTTCAGAACTGTGCTAGAAGCTTACACAGATATTGATAAGGTTATGAGCTATTAGGGTGGGGATGAACTCACAGTGGGCACCTAATTAACATCCAAAAAAATATTTTGAGTAAGTATTAAGCCTTCATCAGCCATAATCATATTTGTTTGAATTTTGCATATTATTTAATCCTCAAAATAACCCTAAGAGAAAGTATTATCTCCATTTTAGGAATAAGTATCCCAAGGTACAGATTATAATGTTGAAGATCTCCTAATAAATGTTTGTGGAATTTAAGCCCATCCTTTTATTAGAATGTACTCTTTCCCCCTGAATTTCTCCCCTAGCATTTTCAAAAGAAAATACCTGAGAAACATTTGCATTATATATATTATTGAGGATAAAGAAGGTATTTTCATTTCCCCTTCAGAGATTTAATCCCTAAGAGAAGGAGAACAAATTATGAATACTTAGATGTCCTAGAAATCTAGTCAACATACCAGATAAGGACTGATTGATTATAGCCTCACAAATATTAGAAATCTGTCCGCTGTGGTTTTTACCCGTAGTTTCATTCTCTCCATCTGTTAAACCAGGCTACCATTTGTGCCTAGAATTAGAGCACACCAAGAGCTGTTTTTTGTACCTTGAACTTCTTAGTTTCATCATAGGTTCCTTCTCTGATTCCATCACCCATTCCAGTACCTTCCCAATTGGGGAGAAGGTTGAACAGTAACAGATGAGGGATGAATGGGAGCACCTTCCTCCTGTCACCTGGCTCCGGCACTGGTCCCAGAGGCATGGACAATCTGAATGGGACTGAAAATTTGTTGGAGTGACTGGACTTGGCTGTTGTCAGTCGGATTCCTTTTCCTTCTTGGGCAGAACCAGTAGATATTGGTGAGAGGGTTCTACTTACCTGTACCCCATTAACACCTCTACCTGATTACTGCTGATGAAGGCTTAATACTTATTAAAAATATTTTTTTGAAAGTTAAAAAAATAGTAAAACAAATCCTTTCTGATTCTAATGGTAGTAAGTTTTCAGGTCTATGAGAAGTTGTTATTGCTGCTTGAATTATTTTTCCCTTAACTGTCTTTAGGAGTTATTCTTAATTTTAATTACAAAAGTTCCTCAGGAAACACATTAATTTTATACATGTATAAAGTATATAGAACTTAAAAAGTTTTATGGAATTTGAAATGTGAGGGTAACACTGGTAATTTACATTTACTAAATAGACATTTTCATATATTTAACATCCATATTTTTGGATATGTGGTTTTCCTATGGTTGCATCCATACATACATGGTCACAAAGTATATTCATTTAATTTCTTTTTTTTCTATTAGCATTACGTAATTTCAGTATACCATGGTCAGTTAGAATTTGCCTTTATTTTAATGTGGAAAGAAGCTAATACTTTGTTTTAAACTGTATTTCTCATCACTAGCAAAGTTGATTCTTACTCATTTTTCATCTGTTGTATTTCATTTTAAACTGTATGCTTAGAAATTATCTTTGTGGATCTTAATGTTCTAATAAGTTTGTGTAAGTGCCTTATATTAACTTCTGACCATTTTGTTAAAATAACCTGCCCTTGTTAGAGGAAATAACTAGTTATGCATTCTTAGTAAAGTTGTATTCTTTTCCAAGATTAAAGTTGATTCAGTATTTGAAAATCATTACTGACGAGCCTTAGTTATGGGGGTGGAAAGTTATTACCTAACCTTTTGCTCATTAAATACATTGGATCCTTATACTTCTTTTCTTTCAGAAGACAGATAATTCTCAGGAGTCAAAGGTAAGAGTTCTTTGTGGAGTTGGAAAGAGACTTCTTTAAGCCTATCAGGTACAGAGATGTATACACTAGTAGAGGGTGAGCTCAGTCTTATTTTATTTTATCATTGAGTTAGGTAGAGGGAGTCAAAATTACAGTATTTGAGATTTATTGAAGGGGATAAAATGGCCATACTTACCAATATGGTCTTATTACTGGATGTTGAGAATGCAATTATTGGAGAAGTGATTGCGTATCAGAAGAAAACCTTTGAATTCCCTATCAGTGACTCTTACATATTTAAAATCAATTTAAAAGAAAAAAATTGTATATTTTTTAGAATTATAAAATAGAAGGAGCACAGGTGTAATCAAAGCTTCCTTGTCTACTAGTGTGCCCTTAATGGTCAAAATGATTTTTTTCATGCAGGCCCAAGCACATTGTCGAGTAGGAGTTGCAGCACTGAATACTCTAGCAGGCTACATAGACTGGGTGTCCATGAGTCATATTACTGCTGAAAACTGTAAACTCCTGGAGATGTTGTGCCTGCTTCTAAATGAACAGGAACTTCAGTTGGGAGCAGCAGAGTGTCTTCTCATTGCAGTCAGCAGAAAAGTAAGCTACCACTTGAAAATGACTTTATCCTCAGACTCTGTGTGTGTGTATGTGTTTAATATTATGTTGTGGCATGGGGCCTCCCTGGTGGCGCAAGGGGTTAAGCACTGCACTATGAAGCAATCTGAAGCCTTTGCAGCACGAGTTTGATCCCCGGCCGGCCAGGGAGAAACCCCATGGCACAGCAGACCTCCTGCCTCGCCCACTGCTCCCCTCAGCAGTGTATTTCAGTCAGTCTGCCTGTTCTGTTCGCCACTGTCTCTGGTGAATCCTCTCACCGCTCTCCCCCATGTCCCCACACCCTCACTCCCCACACATACCTCTGGCATGTCACCCAGTTCTTATATGCATAAATAAATAAATCTTAAAAAAAAAAAATGTGGCAGAAAGACTTCTAAAAGTTTGGGCTTTTTTTTTTTTTTTTTAAGATTTATTTATTATTTATTTATACAAGCACTGGGTACAGTCAGAAGCGCAGGAGGGTGAGAGAATTCACCAGAGCCAGAGCCGGGAACAGAACAGCCAGACTGATGAAATACACTGCTGAGGGGAGCAGCGGGCAGCAGGAGAGGTCTGTGCGCGATGTTGGACCCTCACCGGCGGCCGGGGATCGAACCGGCGCTGCAGAGGCTGCAGGCAGCTTCGCAACCCAGCGCTCAACCGCTGCGCCACAGGGGAGGCCCTAAAAGTTTGGACTTTTTTACTGGACATCAATTTATTACATGCCTTTGACCCCTTTGGATAAGTTTGCCAGTATTCTATGGATATGCTGCAATATGCAGCATATAGAGATTTGTCATGGTACTTGGTTCTTAACATAGTTATGAACCTTGGACGTCACACTTAAGTACAGAGGTAAAATTAATATTAAAGATTAGCATGCAGTGTTATGTCAAAGAATCTTAGATAGAGGTTAACACTGACTATACATTCATGCATCTTATTCACACATCTCTTGACAGATACATCATTAGGTGAACCTGTGCAAACATCAGAGTGTAATAACACAAACCTAGATGGTATAGCCTACACTGCTAGTTGTGTGTATGCTATGTGATAACCTACTGGAGCCACCATTATATGTGTGGTTTGTCTCTACCCAAACATTGTTAAGCAATCCATTACTGTACCTATCTTTGCTAACATGACTTTTCTCCACAGACATGTTGTCATCAGATGTAATTTACTTTGCTTTCATTACAGCATTGTAGCCCTTACCCATTTTTAGTCAAATAGTTGGCCTTTTTCTAGTGTTTAGTCAGCTGCAGGGCTATGTGAGAATTATGAAGTGAGTATGTTGGATTATATAGAAAATGTTAATATTTGAAGACTCTTAATAATATTATTTGTATTACCCATGTTTCCCTAAAATTGGGTGTAGGGCAAGTTGGAAGACCGGAAGCCCTTGATGGTCTTATTTGGAGATGTTGCCATGCATTATATACTTGTTGCTGCCCGGTGAGTATCTACATTTCTGTATATTTTCTGATTTCTTTGTTATTTTTAGGTCTTCCTTGGATGTATTTAAAGTTCCTTTCTGTGTTCCTGAGAGTATTCTTTGTAGGAAAACCAGGCAGTCATTTAAAGGAACAATTCAACCATTTTGAAGACCTTATGCTGGAAATAAGTTGTGGCACCAGCCCACTTTCATAGTTTTTCCTATTCTCCCTAGGCAACTCATTTTGATTCTTTGTCTCTGGTCCGCAAGCCTCCTAGTAGCCTTGGTAACTAGGCCAGAGAAAGCTCTGGTCTGTTGCAGCAGAGTCTGTCTCAGGGCCTCCCTCAATTGCAGGACTCCAGATATTCCTCCCTGTTCTTCATCAAAGTAATCAATATCTGAAGTACAATATCTGAAGGTAGCAGGAGAGATGTGCTAAATGAGAAATGTGTGCATAAAACCTATAAACACATTTATATCCTGAAATAATGACTTATTTTCTCTCAGTGCTCTAGAAAATATGAAAACATTTCCTGATAAGTATTTCTTACTAGTGAGTCAGACTGTCTTTCGCAGATAATTGAAACTGTTGTAGTACCCTCTTTTCACTACTTTCGACTTGCTCTTGGTCTCAAGGACATGAAAAGATGTGAGGCGCATATGTATTACCTAAACCCTCTTACTGCCAATTCTTCAACAGCTTTTATGCTGACTTTCCTGTGGAGACTACAGCTCTGTTTAAAGGGATCCTGTCTTTTGGGTGACCATTGTAGTTACTGTTTCTAAACCCCATGTTTTTATTATTTTTTTATCTTTTTTTTAAAGATTTGTTTATTTTTATACAAGAGCTGGGGTACAGGCCAGAGTTGTGGGAGGTGAGAGGATTCACCAGAGACAGAGTGAGGAGCAGAACAGGCAGACGACCAAAATACACTGCTGAGGGGAGCAGCAGGTGAGACAGGAGAGGTCTGCCACGCCATGTGAGAATCTCCCTGGCCGGCCAGGAATCGAACCCGCGCTGCAGAGGCTGCGGACAGCTTTACAGCGCTGCGCTCAACCCGCTGCGCCACAGGGGAGGCCCAAGCCCCGTGTTTTTAGTTCCATAAATACCATGACATCTACACTACGGTGTCCCATCTCTGTACTCCTGGATCCAGTGTGTAAAACTGATTTAAACCCAGGTAGACATATTCCAGAGCCTGCACTGGAAACTATAACACCATTTACTGCCCTTCAACATCACTAGAACTTAGTCTTGCTTACTGCAAGGGCCATGTTTTTTACATTATATTCTGTTGCCTTCAGACTGCAACCAATAACAGCTGCTGTCCACGCTAGTCATTAATTCCTGTTACTATGAATAGTCCTGCATCTTTTTGGTTCAGATTTGCCACTAAATCTTTTATAAAATTTTTTTTTTATTTGACAGCTCTTGTATTCTAAAATAGCAGATAAGGGATTATAGACCTTAACTAAATGACTTAAAGAAAGAAAGCCCAGAGTTATGTTTATATTGAGTCTTTTTTTTTTTTTAAGATTTATTTATTTATGGGCCTCCCTGGTGACAAAGGGGGTTAAGCACTGCACTGTGAAGCAATCCACGAGTTCCATCCCTGGCCAGCCAGGGAGCAACCCACATGGCGCAGCAAACCTCTCCTGTCTCGCCCGCTGCTCCCCTCAGCAGTATGTTTCAGTCAGTCTGCCTGTTCTGCGCCCCGCCCCCCACCCCGCCTCGCTCTCTGGTGAATCCTCTCACCCCCCACACCTCTGGCCTGTACCCAAGCTGTTGTATGCTTATGCAAACAGGAAGACTGACTGAAACACACTGCTGAGGGGAACAGGGGCAAGTCAGGAGAGGTCTGCTTCGCCATGTGGGTTGCTTCCTGGCTGGGGATGGAACTCTTGCTACAGTGGCTGCGGCGAGCTTCATAGGTTGCGTCTTAACCCCTTGCCCCACCAGGGAGACCCTACAGTCTTCATTTTTTTAAGACTTGATTATTTTAGAGAAGTTTTGGGTTCACCACAAAACTGAAAGGAAAGTAGAGAGATTTGTTCTTGCCCCCACACTTACATAGTCCCCCATTATTAGAATGGTGCATTTGTTAGAACTGATGAACCTACACTGGCTTATCATAATCATCCAAAGTCCAGGGTTTATCTTAGGGTTCATTCTATGAGTTTTGACAAATGCATTTTGACCTGGGTCCACCACTGTTTAGAATCGTCTAGAGTATTTTCTCTGACCTGGAAATATTCTGTGCTCTGCCTATTCTTCCCTACTCCTCTAATCCACTCCCTGACAATTGACCTACTTTATCCATATTTTTTCCTTTTCCAGAATGTCATAATTGGAAGCATACGATATGTAACTTTTTCAGATTGGCTTCTTTCACATAGTAATATGCACTTAATGGTACCTCTGTATCTTTTTATGACTCACTTCTTTTCATGCTGAATAATTTCATTACCTGGATGGACCAGAGTTTATACTTTCAGCAGGATATGGTTGCTTCCAAGTTTTGACCGTTATGATTAAAGCAACTATAAACATTTTTTTGTAGGTTTTTATGTGGACTTAAAATTTCAATTCCTTTGGGGAAAACAAGCACAAATGCTAAATTGTTTGGTAAGAGTATGCTTAGTTTTATAAGAAACTGTCAAACTGCTTTCCAAAGTATGGGTACCTTTTTGAATTTCCACAACTAATGAGTGATAGTTCCTGTTGCTTAACATCCTGATTACATCTGGTGGGCTCAGTGTTCTGGATTTTGGCCTTTATAATAGGTTTGTAGTAATAGGTGTGTAGCATCTTGGTTGTTATAATCAATGACATATAATGTGGAGCATCTTTTCATACTTTTATTTGCTATCTGTGTAGCAAATAAATTTCATTTTGGTGAAATGTCTGTTAAGGTCTTTGGCCCATTTTTTAATCAAGCTGTTTTCTTGTTGAATTTTAAGAGTTTTTGTACATTTTGAATAATGGTCTTTTTTAGATATGTCTTTGCAATTCTGTGACTTGTCTTCTCATACTTTTGATTATAGTCCTTTTAATTTTGTCAGTAGTATAAAGACTTGTTACATGTTCCCCTAGAGATCTGAATCCTCCCTGGGTATCAACTAATGTCTTTTATATAGCCTGTATGCATTGTTTTATGGAGTCATGCTCAGAGTTTATTATCCCAAACACCCACGGACCACATACTGCCCAAGAACTAGAGTGTCCTTTGGGAGATGAGATTGCATTAAATCCTGCTCCTCATCAATCTTTCATGTTTGATTTTTTTTTTAACTTTTAATAACTATGAATGTTGAAGCACAGGTCACATATAGCTCTATTTAAGACCCTTTGGCTCTTTTGATGTGCATCTAATAACACTATTTTCTCATCTTACAGGACTGCTGATGGAGGAGGCTTAGTAGAAAGACACTATGTCTTCCTGAAGAGACTCTGTCAAGTGTTGTGTGCTTTGGGCAATCAGCTATGTGCATTGCTGGTGAGCACTTGCTTTCTGGAGACTTGGGGCCATTTAAGGAGAGCATTTAGGAAGACATATATACATAAAGGGTGACAGATGCCACTGATTTTAGCTTGGTAGAGTCACCTCCTATAAATTATTTCATGAGATTCTATTAATTTATTTTAATAGGGCTTGAATGATACAAAATTCTTTTAAACAAGTCAGTTATTAATATCAGTGACAAACATACATCTTTTATTCCATGTAGTCAACATTTCTATTATGATTTTGATACTTGTCTGCAAAGTATTTCCTTTTTAAGTTCTATTAGATCATGAAACATTACGAATTTGAATAAAAAACCTCTTCCAATGTCTAAAGAATATATTTATTATTGGATCATAAAAAAAATTATAGTCTGATTGACCTGGAAATGACTGTGTTTAGGGACATATTTAGTCCTTAATCTTATAAGTTGAAAGGTAGGTCATTGATATTTGCAGACATTTGCACTTGATGTTATGCTTTTTGTGGTGGCTTGAATCATTAGGGCTTCAGGCATAAGACATACACCACTAAGTAATTATTTACTATATTGGGTCATAGAGATGTGGATAGACCAGATCTGAAAAAAAAAAATAATACGAATTTCTTCTTTTTGTGATTTCTGGAATGAATACTTTCTTTCATTTTATTGTTTGACCACAGAATGAGTTTCAGAGATGATGAAATGTGTTTTAATAATGATGATTAAAGAGGTAAGGCAGCTTTCCTATTTTGGTAAGCCCTAGAAATGATGCCTTCCTTTGATTGCAGGACATATAATGTCCTTTCACAACTGATTTTTTTCTCAAAGTGGACATAACCTTAGGGTGTTATTATCTTCATAATAAATAAAAGATTAATCACTTGGCTTTTTCTCTTATCACCTCCCAATTCAAAAATGTTTGTGTCTTCATAGCCCAACTAGATCCTCAGTTGGGCCCAGTACACTGAAGCCTCAGCACAATCTTCTTTGTTTTTTTAATTTTTTCCAGAAAATTGGTTTAGTCTGCCCACCATAGCCACTCTGCTCCCTGTTATGATGTCACTTTCCCTGGGTATACAGAGAATCATTGCCCTTCTTGTACTGTGTCACTTTGAGGGGTTAATACTTGTCACACTTCTTATAGAATGTCTGTCAGGTTTTAATGACTTTCACATTGCTTGTGAGACTGCTGTCAGCACAGAAGGTGTAAAACTGAAATTTGCATTTGTTACTCTACTCCTCCCACTTCCCACCATTCATCCGCCATCAGCATCGTTAATGTAGTGACGTTTTTATCCTACAGGGTGTGGATTCTGATGTAGAAACTCCAACAAACTTTGAAAAATACCTGGAATCTTTTCTTGCTTTCACAACCCATCCAAGTCAGGTAAATTTTATGCAGGTAACTTTTTATTATTTTTAGTTAAATAAATCAAAGTCAAGCACTATGGCCTGAAGTATATACAGCTTGTGTATAAAGTATGACTAATAAGGACCTAGGAAATAACTATAACATCATTTCATTAAGAATTGTTGAGTCTTATTGAACCAAACATGATTCTGTCTAGGTAAGCAGTTTTTCCCCTCAGGTAATGCCTTCTGATAATTCTCAGTTAAGCGTGAGAGGTATGTCCCAGGTGATTTGCTACTAAAGATATTTTATATACAAAAGTTTAATTGTGTTATTAAATTTTATCCAATTTAAGATTTTACTTGCAATATCACTGAGATTCCTATATTCTTCCCTGCATAAAAGAGAAAGTTGTAGAGTTCCACTGATACTACAAGAAATGCAGACCTTACTAACAGGTGGTACATCATAAACAGTCATAACCAGTGCATTACAGTATGGACTGTTTCAAAGTATTATAGGTTTATTTCCATGAAAAAAATACAGTTGCTTATTTCTGGGCTAAGTGATAGTCTTGGTTTTAAACTCTTAAGTCCTTAAGTTGGGATTTTTCTGCTTTTTAGTTTCTACGCTCTTCAACTCAGATGACTTGGGGAGCCCTCTTCCGGCATGAGATCCTATCCCGTGACCCTTTGCTATCAGCAATAATACCAAAATATCTTCGTGCTTCTATGACTAATTTGGTCAAGGTATGCAATGGAAATCTGAACATTTGGGTTGTAGATGAATAAGACCTTGATTGGCGTCTGTCACAGCCAAGTCTTAGTCACTAGATACCTCCTTTGCACATATTATTCTCCTAATCCTCAAAAAGAAAACAGTCCATACATGTTTTTTGTATTTTGGAGCACTTACGTGTTAAGTATTGGACTAGATCTTAGGAAAAAAGTAGTAGTAGGTCAAGAAAAGTGACCATGTCTATACAATATGGTAGGTAATTACTTCTCAGAGGTTAAAAGCAGGTAGGAGGTAGAGATAGAGGATTCTAACAAGTGATACCTAATCGTTTCTGAAAGTTTAGTGAGATGACGAAAGATGAAAGATGAATGAGCAGGGACTGAGTGTAGAAGCAGAGCTTGCTACCTCATTAAGAGATACTTATGAATTCCCTGAGATCTGCTAAGAGCTCTTGCAGCTGATAGATGCGTGATTTTTTTTTATAAGTTTCTATGTCTGATTTTTTTTTTTCACATTTTATTTAAATTTTATTTTTTATATTCCCCATATAATTACAACCCCCTTATTTTGACCCCAAACCCTCCTTTCCCCTCCCGCCACCCCCCAGAGAGTGTCTCTGGTTCATAGTTGTTTGTTGATTTTGATATTTTCTTTCTTATAGTTATTCTTTTTCCTGGTCCCTTATTTAAGTTTTCTAGATTCCTGCTATGAGTGAGACCATCCGGTATTTTCCTTTTTCTTTCTGGCTTATTTCTCAGAGCATGATCCCTTCCAGCTCCAAAAATGTGGAACGCTTCACGAATTTGCGTGTCATCCTTGTGCAGGGGCCATGCTAATCTTCTCTGTATTGTTCCAATTTTAGTATATGTGCTGCCAAAGCGAGCACTAGATGCTTAATCTTGATTTGTAAAATTAGTGACTGGGACCAATAAATAGTTCCCTAATTTACTCAAGGAATTCACGTAGCACACAACATACCATGGTTTAGGTTTCTGCCGTTGTCCAGTATTTTTTAGTTGAAAAATATAATATTCCGTGCTTATTCTTAGGGTTCAATTCTTTTTCATTTGTTGCATGTTATATTTAGCATTTTGTCTTGGGACATCTTTATACCCGAAGAACCCAAACAAATTTCAGCATTTGATTCTCTGTAAGGAACCTGGAAGAGAGTATCAAATAATTCTCTTTTCTACAACTCTCAGGATTACTGGACCTAGGAACAAATTGTGGACTTAGGATAGAGCAGAAGTAGTTATTTATCAAAATGTCTTGGACAACACTTAACTTCTTAAATTAGAAATCATTGGGGTGGGCCTCCCCGGTGGCGCAGCGGTTGAGCGCTGGGTTGCAAAGCTGCCCACGGCCTCTGCAGCGCCGGTTCAATCCCTGGCTGCTCCTGGGTCACCGGAGGAGGGTCCCAAATGGCACGCAGACCTCTCCTGCCGCCTGCTGCTCCCCTCAGCAGTGTGCTTCAGTCCTTCTGCCTGCTCTGCTCCCCACTCTGGCTCTGGTGGGTTCTCGCCCTCCCGCGCTTCTGACTGTGCCCAGTGCTTGTATAAATAAATAAAAATAAATCTTTAAAAAAAAAAATCATTGGGGGCCTCCCTGGTTGCACAAGAGGTTATTAAGCACCCACTATGAAGCTTGTGAAGCCTCTGCAGCACAAGTTCAATTCCCAGCCGGCCAGGGAGCTTCCCACATGACGCAGCAGACCTCTCCTGTCTTCACCCGCTGCTCCCCTTAGCAGTGTATTTCAGTCAGTCTGCCTGTTCTGTTCCCTACTCTGACTCTGGTGAAATCCTCTCACCCCTTGCACCTCTGGCCTATACCCCAGTTTTTGTATGCATAAATAAATAAATCTTTAAAAAAAATAAAATCATTGAGCTAGCCTCCCTGGTGGCGCAGGGCTTAAAGTCTCAGCACTGTCAAGCTATTGCCAACCACTGCAGCATGAGTTCGATCCCCAGCCAGGGAGATAACCCACATGGCGCAGCAGATCCCTCCTCTCTCCCCCGCTACTCCCCTCAGCAGTGTGTTTCAGTAGATCCTCCTGTTCTGCTCCCCACTCTGTCTCTGGTGAATCCTCTCACCCCCCTGTACCTCTGGCCTATACCCCAGTTCTTGTATGCATAATAAATTTTTTAAAAATATTTAAAAAGAATTCATAGCGCTTCTGGAATTTAACACTTTTGGAAGGTTCATTGTCATTCCCTACTCCCATTATATTTCTTTCCAGATGGGCTTTCCTTCTAAAACAGACAGTCCTAGCTGTGAATATTCTCGATTTGATTTTGATAGCGATGAGGACTTCAATGCTTTCTTCAACTGTAAGTGATATTCACCTGGAATTTCTCTCAGCAGTCTGAGAATGACATCTAGTGTTATGAATCATGACTGACCCTTGGGATTCTTTATGAAGGAGCCTCAAATCTGGAGAACAGCCTGTTTAAAATTAGTTTCACACTGAGAGGGTGCTCAGATTGCACTCATTCCATGCACAGCATTGTCATATACTGCCTTTGCACTTTGATGTGTAGAGATAATCACTGTACTTAAAGTACTCTTGGTTTTTTTTATACTTAGGATTTCCTACCATTCTTACTTTGTATGTCTTCTCGGGGTGTGGGGGGGGGGACCTCTATTTATATCCTAGTTTTATTCTGAGTTTCCTGTATCCTATCTCCCTTTACCCCCCTTTTTTTTTAAATAACAGATTTATTGAGATATAATTCATTTACTCATTTACTGTACTCTTCAACCATTTGTCATATTACAATTCAGTGAGGTTTTTTGGTTTGTTTTTCATAGTTGTGTATTTGTCACCCCAGTCAATTTTAGAACATTTTCATGACTCCAATAAGAAACCATTTCCTGGGCCTCCCCAGTGATGCAGCACTGTGAAGCTGTCCACAGCCTCTGCCGTGCAGGTTCAATTCCCAGCCAGCCAGGGAGATTCCCACATGGCGCGGCAGACCTCTCCTGCCTCACTCGCTGCTCCTCTCAGCATTGCTTTTAGTCCATCTACCTGTTCTGCTCCTCACTCTGACTCTGGTGAATCCTTTCACCCTCCCATGCCTCTGACCTATACCCCAGCTCTTATATAAAAATAAATAAATCTTTAAAAAAAAAAAAAAAAAAAAAACAGAAAAAAGAAGCCATTTCCCAGTTCCCGCATGCCTCCCAACTCTGGGCAAGCACTAACAATCTACTTTCTATTTTTCATCTATTCTGAACCTTTCACATAAATGCAATTATACAATAAGTGGCCTTTTGTAACTGCCTTCTTTCACTTAGCATAATGTTTTTAAAATTCATCTATGTTGTAGCATGTATCAGGATTTCATTTCTTTTTATTGCCAATAACATTTTATTGTGCGGATATATACATTTTTACTTATTCATCATATGTTGATGGATATTTGAATTGTTTTCACTTGGCTATTAAGAATAACATTGCTATAGACATTTGTGTGCAAGTTTTTATGTGGACATGTTCTTCTTTCTCTTTGGTATATACCTAGGAAGAGTTATTGGATCATACGGAATTCCATGTTTAATGTTTTGAGGAACTGCCAGGCTGTTTTTCACAGCAACTGTACCATCCTGACTCCTTTTAATTCCAACAAATATGGGAGACCACTTTTAGTTTGCCATTTACAGGATCTAGCTGGTAGGACAACTTCCAGAGATGATTTATTTTTGGAGTTTTCTGGGTTTGTTATTGTAATCAAAGCACAAGTCTACAAAACAGAGTCTCTCTGATCATTTCCCCCCGGGATGGATAAATAAATAAATACTAATTAAGTATACCTATTATTATGTTCCAGTTATTGATTCATGTCTTTCTCTTGGCAGCCTCCCGGGCCCAACAAGGAGAGGTATTGAGGTTAGCGTGTCGTTTAGATCCCAAGACTAGCTTCCAGATGGCTGGAGAGTGGCTAAAATATCAGCTAACAACGTCTGTTGACACTGGATCCACGAACTGTAAGTTTTTAAATTTTGAACATTAGTGAAGTATTGTACCAAAACTGTACAGAGGAAATAAACTTTCTGGGCTACACTTTAGAACAGTATGGTAGTAGTGTTAAAAAAATAGCTTTTCTTACTGCCCAGTTCCATCCTAGGAAGCGAGTCTTTTCATTTGCACATGTAGACAGAAAGCAGATAATATCAGACTTCAAATCTATTTAAATTAAGGTAAAATCATGTCCCTATCAGGTTTTGCCTTTATTTTTCTCATAACAGAATCAACCATTTGTTTATTGTTGATTTTATTACTTCACTTCAAGCACCATTTTAACAAATTGCATATCTAGACCTAACTTTTTAAAGCTTTCAACTAAATTCTTAAATAGCACCTCTCCTAAACTCAGAGAGAATGTCAGCCTAACATAGTAGATGGGAGCACTATATCCAAGCAAGAAAATTCATAAGTATTTTTGCTGTGCTTTGCTGTTTGATGTGCTTTGATGATACTTATGAACTCTTAAGAGGGTAGCAAAGTTCTGTAGACCTAGCCCTTGCAATTTTCCTGAGACAACTGAATGTGAAGCAGCATTTTTTTTTCTAAAAATTTATTTTTATTTATACAAGAGCTGGGGTACAGGCCAGAGTCGTGAGAGGGTGAGAGGATTCACCACAGACAGAGCAGGGAGCAGAACAGGCAGATGGACCGAAGGCATTGCTGAGGGGAGCAGCGGACAAGACAGGAGAGCTCCGCCTTGCCATGTGGGATTCTCCCTGGCCGGCCGGAAATAGAACCGGAGCTGCGGAGGCTGCGGACAGCTTCACAGCCTGGTGCTCAACCTGTTGCACCACTGGGGAGGCCCTGAAGCAGCATTTTTTAGAATTTTATGTCAGTTCCTTATTGAAGGACTTCTTATGGTCTCAAATTTCTTACTTATTTTCAGTTTCGTGGGCAAACTATAGAGGGGAAGCTGGGGGAGAGGGAAGGAGAAATTAATATTTATCAGTTTCCGCTCATTGGCCAAGCATCGTTTTTGATACTTATCTGTATATTCTCATTCAGTAGTACCCTAATGGTTGTACAGATAAGGCGCTCAAAGGTTAACTCAGACTGCTCATTGTTAGAGGGGGAGGCTGGAGAGGGGCTCTTCTTTGATTTTATTCTTCTCCTAGATTAAGTAGATGGGTTATCATGTTTCTTCAATTGCAAAATTACCAAATGGTCTAAGTTGCCATTTTCTGTGTCTTCTATGATCCTACAATGTTTATATGTGTGTGAGTGTGTGTCTTAAAATCTTGTTCTCCTACAGCTGCAACTGGAAAAGGCAGCCTATGCTCCATCTTCTCACCTTCATTCGTTCAGTGGGAAGCCATGACTTTATTTTTGGAAAGTGTGATCAACCAGATGTTTCGAACTGTAGATAAAGAAGTAAGTTACTGTTTCTTATGTTAATTGCATAATGATTTTGGTCTTTTTAAATCTGGGAAAGGGATAGGAAAATCTGTGGTTGTGTATCTTATAAAAGAGGAAACAAACTCACAGAGGTTAAATAATGTACTCAAATTAAAATAGCAAAGTGGAGACTCAAGCTCTGGTCTCTCTGACTGTAAACCCTACAATGTGTAGTACTCATTTTAAGATGATAATAAGATGGAAAGAAAAGTAATAATAAGATGAGCCTGATAGTTCAATGAGCCACAGGTAAGATTGCTCTCGTAGGGAGAATAGTGATGGAAACCTTGAATTGGAAACTCTTACAGGATGTTTGCCATTAAGCATTCTTTTCATCCTCTTCCTTGAATAATCTGAGTAAATAGTTACCCTACTCTTTTTTTTTTTTTAAGATTTATTTTTATACAAGAATCAGGATACAGGCCAGATGCACGGGAGGGTGAGAGGATTCACCGGAGACAGAGTGGGGAACAGAACAGGCAGACTGAGGAAATACACTGCTGAGGGGAGCAGCAGGTGAGACAGGAGAGATCTGCTTCGCCATGTGGGATTCTCGCCTTCTGGCCGGGATCAAACCCGCGCTGCAGAGGCTGCGGACAGCTTCACAGTGCAGCACTCAACCGCCTATGCCACCAGGGAGGCCCTGTGCCACTAGGGCCTACTCTTAATAATATTTATTACATTAAGTATATCTGTAATTAGTTGGATAACAACATACCATATTAATAGTGTTAGGTTAAAACATTTGGATCACTCATTTTGGGGTAACTACATCTAGTGTAGTCTACCTTCATTTTATTTTATTTTATTTTATTTTATTTATTTATTTTGTGGGACCCTCGCCGGCGGCCAGGAAACGAATCCGCGCACAGAGGCTGCGGGCAGCCTCGCAGCCCAGCGCTCAACCGCTGTGCCACCAGGGGAGGTCCTACATTCATTTTAGAAAAACTCTTTTAAGTCCCCTGAAAATAAATGACATATCATGCTTTTTCTCACAAGTGCATACAGTCAGAAACATTCACCTGCGTCCTTTATCATATCCTTTTATAATAAGCCAGTAAACTGTCTCCCTCGGTTCTTTGAGTTGCTCTAGCAAAAGACATAGGGAAAGGGCTCATGGGAACCTCCACTTTATATGGGGGTAGGGTTGGAGATTTAGGGCAGAAACTCAACAGTATTACAAATAACAATATAGAGTCAGAAATTCATAGTAGCAAATGGGAATGTTAAACAGGCTGAATCCTGTCACCTGCACGCTCCTGGACATATAATGTGTTACAGCTTCACTAACAAGTAGGTGATCAAGTTCACCTATGTATTCACCCATTCTGACCTATTTCACTTTGGTGAAGAAAAAAAGGTTTGTGTCAGAGTTGTACTTTAAGTCATTAACAAACCTAAATATTACCATTTGGATTGTCCTAATGAAAAAAGATATTCAGTTCTGTTTTTGTCCTTAGCACTCATTCTGACTTAGGTCTTACTTCATATTGTCACCTTATCTTTTTCCAATTTACTCCTGTATTCATTCTAGACTTTTTTTTTTTTTTTTTTTTGCATTGAAGAACTGGGTTGTAGGCCAGAGGTGTTGGGGGCAATGGGGAGGATTCACCAGATACAGAGTGGGGAGCAGAACAGGCAGATTTATTGAAATACACTGCTGAGGGGAGCAGCAGGCAAGACAGGAGAGGTCTGCTGAGCCATGTGGGTTTCTCCCTGGCCAGGAATCAAACTCAGGCCAGAGTGATGATAGTGCTGAGACTTAACCCCTAGGCCACCAGGGAGGCCTTGTACTTTTTGATCAACTTGTATTTGGTATCTTGACTGCTATCATATTTAAGGATTTACTGTACAATCCAGCCTACATCTAAGTAGGTACCAAACCCCTGCCCAACTATATTGCTAGTGCTTTCATTCATCGTAAAGACAAATACTTGATAAACCCTTATCATTTCATTCTCCTGCCTTTCGATAGGATCTTACCCACATATTTGGATCCATTCAAGATGTCTAACTTAAAAAATACCAAGAAAAGGGCCTCCCCGGTGGCGCAGCGGTTGAGCGCTGGGTTGCGAAGCTGCCCGCAGCCTCTGCAGCGCCGGTTTGATCCCCGGCTGCTCCCTGGCCACCGGAGGAGGGTCCCACATGGCGCAGACCCCTCCTGCCGCCCACTGCTTCCCTCAGCGGTGTGCTTCGGTCCTTCTGCCTGCTCTGCTCCCCGCTCTGGCTCTGGTGAATTCTCTCACCCTCCCGCGCTTCTGACTGCACCCAGTACTTGTATGTACAAATAAATAAATAAATAAATCTTTAAAAAAAAAAAAAAAATAAATAAATAAAAAATACCAAGAAAAGAAATAGGGCCATTTCCCTTGATTTGATAAATAGGGCCATTTCCTTTGATTTGCCACACTTAATCTAATACGCTAACTCTAATTACTATAATACTTATTCTAATGGATAAATCCCTTCTAAACCTGAAAAGGGATTAACAGTAAAAAAAAAAAGGCAAGATTTAGGGTCTCCCTGGTGACTCAGGGGTTAAAGATAGTGCTGTCAAGCTGTCGCCAGCCATTGCAGCACAAGTTCGATCCCAGGCCGGCCAGGGGCAACCCATATGGTGCAGCAGACCTCTCCACTCTCGCCCGCTGCTCCCTCAGCAGTGTGTTTCAGTGGATCCGCCTGTTCTGCTCTCCACTCTCTGGTGAAACCTCTCACCCCCTGCATCTCTGGTCTACGCCCCAGTTCTTATATGCATAAATAAATAAATCTTTAAGGGAAAAAAAATGCAAGATTTAAGAAAGATTTCTCACCTAGATTTTTGAACAAATTCAGAATACCATTTGAAATAAATCAACATAAGAGCAGATAAAATTATCAACTCTTGATTTCATTTGTTCATATGCCACTTGTGGAGATCGTGTCAGATCCCACAGGTTACGGGCTCAATCCCACAAGACTGCTTCCACCCCACTTCAGATGCCAGTTGCAAGTAGTAGGTTTCAGATTACCCACAATTTCAATCTGACTTGGCTGCAAATTGGGGGCCCATGACTCCTTCCTCGGGTTCGATTAATTTGCCAGAGCAACTCAGGGAAACAGCTTACTTGTGATTACTGGTTAATTATAAAAGCGTTTGATAAAAGATACAGATGAATGTCCAGATGGAAGAGATGCATAGAGTGAGGTATTTGGGAAGGGACATGTTTCCCTGTCCACTCTCCCCATACCTCCACCTATTCACCAACCTGGAAGCTATCCGAAGTTTCTACTATTGGAATTTTATGGAAGCTTTATCATGTAAGCATGATTAATCATTGACTCCATTCTCAAAAGAATGAAGTTGTGCTGAAAATTCCAAGCTTCTAATCAGGACTTGATCTTTCCAGTGACCTGCCTTCATCCAGGAGCCCACCCAGAGTCACCTCATTAGAACAAAAGATGTTCCTTATTTTCCAGGAAATTATAAAAATTTTAGGAGTCTCATGTGAGGAACCAGGGGTCTAAGATCAAATATTCTAGTGCTCTTATCACATGAGGAAAATTTTATGGGTTTTAGGAGCTCTGTTTCAGGAACTGTGGGCAGAAGTCAGTTTTTATTTTCTATTATTTTTTCTGTTAAACTTCAGTGAAAGAGTTTCACTAAGAGGTTCTTTGACTAAAAAGATTAAAAAGCTATTCATCTAATCCATAGTGACATTAACTAAGCTTGTTTTTCCAGTAGTATGAGAGAATGTTAGGTAGAGCCATGCTTTAGTGGGAATAATGTAAGGAATAACTTTGCAGGAAAAAAGTCAGTTTGAAGATGAGGTTGATTTTTAGGTAGAGCCATGCTTTAGTGGGAATAATGTACGGAATAATTTTGCAGGAAAAAAGTGAGTTTGAAGATGAGGATTGATTTGCCTCCCAAAACAGTAAAAATAAAGCTACAGTATTTTAAAGCAATGTAGTATTGGGTCTTCCTGATGGCGCAGGGGTTAAAGTCTCAGCACTATCAAGCTATCACCAGCCACTGTGGCATGAGTTTGATCTCCAGCCAGGGAGCTAACCTGCATGGCACAGCACACCTCTCCTGTCTTGACCACTGCTCCCCTCAGCATTATATTTCAGTAGATCCACCTGTTCTGCTCCCCACTGTCTCTGGTGAATCCTCTTAGCCCCCCACACCTCTGGCCTACACCCCAGTTCTTATATGTATAAATTAAAAAAAACTTAAAAAAAAAAAATGGCAATGTAGTACTGTAGTGCTGTGGCATTAGACACAGCTTATTGGAACAAAATAGCCGAGGAACAACTTGAAGGATACATAAGCATCCCAAAGAGATCCCAAAGGATTGGATCATTTTATAAATAGCATTGGAGAAAATTGGGCAGCAGGCTCCCTAAAATGGAAAACAGTGAAAGTAAGTAATCACAAAAGTTAATGGCTTTAACTACACATGTTTTTAACATAAAATAAACTTTAAAAAGTGAACATGGAAAAATAATTTGCAGTAAATGTGGATGCGATTGATATCCTTACTTGAAAAGCTTGTATCCCAAACATTGCTTTTCGAACAGAATTGTTATCACAACTTTGTAGACTAACTTGGCACCATCTAGTTGAAGATATATATAGCCTTACAACCTGGCAACTCCACACATAAGTCTGTACTATGAAGAAACCCTACATGTGTACTGGCCCATAGAAGCTTAGTGTGTTTAGCCAAGATAAAAGTTTAATATACACTAATAGATTGCAAAGTATACATTGTAACATATTCATAGCACAGTGAAAACGATCTAGGGTTACATTGTAAAAAAGGATGATTTTCACAAACATAATATTCACCCAAAACAGCAAGCTACAAAAGTAGCCATGCAATACTGTATAATCAAGAATATGTGCATTTGTGACAAAAGCGAATAGAAATGAAGGAATTCATGAACTTAACATCAAATTTTCACCCACCCAGGGACTGAAAAGGAGGATGTGTACATAAGTATCCACTGTGTCAGTAACATTGTACTTCTTTACAGTGGTCATAGGAAGGCTTCCTGAAGTGTTGCTTAGAGCTTTTTTAAAGGCCTGGAATGTTTTACAGTAAGATTTTTTTTTTTTTTAATAAATTGATAAGAAAAACACTGGAAACCAATAGAAAAATAGATAAAATTAGTATGAAGTCAACCTCATTAGTAATCAAATAAACTCATTTTCTTTACTTAATAAGCAAACTTTTAGTGAATAAACTCCCTGATGCTGAGAACATTGTAAGAAGGGTATATGGATGGATAAATAATAAATTAACATATCTAAAAAAGGAAAACAGAAGACTTAAAATTATTTCAGACCTTTTGACCCAATAATTGTAGCCATCCCTGAATCCCTGAAAGTCTCTCAATCAAATGAAATAATTGAAAATGTTGGGCCTCCCAGGTGGTGCAGCGGGTTGAGCGCAGTGCTGTGGAGCTATCCGCAGCCTCTACAGCACAGGTTTGATTCCTGGCCGGCCAGGGAGATACCCACATGGCACAGCAGACCTCTCCTGTCTCGCCCACTGCTCCCCTCAGCAATGTTTCGGTCATCTGCCTGTTCTGCTTCCCTCTCTGTCTCTGGTGAATTCTCTCACCTCCTGCACCTCTGGCCTGTACCCCAGTTCTTGTATAAATAAATAGCTCTTTTAAAAAAAAAAAAAAAAAAAAAGCCTGAAAAACCACTGAGGGCTCCAGGATTCTCCTTAAAAAAATAATAATAATAATTGAAAATGTAGCCAAAATTTTTTTGCTAAGACCTAGATTAGCTTTACTTAAAATAGTGAAGAACTGGAAATAGTCTCAATTTCTAATAGTAGGTAATGCTGCATCCCTCAGTGGCATGTGGCAACATTTATGAAACTGTTTAATGACCTGGGGTCATGCTTAGAATTTTAAGGAATAAAAAGTAGTGTCTAAGTACGTATGTGGGACCCATGTTATATATTTATAAATTAAAGACTATAAAGGAAATTTAGCAGAAATGGTTATCAGCTGTGTCAACCTCCTTTTCATGCCTCTATTACAGGAACTTCCTGTTAATGATGGAATAGAACTATTGCAGATGGTACTGAACTTTGACACCAAGGATCCCCTCATCCTGTCCTGTGTACTCACTAATGTCTCAGCGCTCTTTCCATTTGTCACATATAGACCAGAGTTTCTGCCTCAGGTCTTCTCTAAGGTAAACTCTAACTCCTTTGTCAATTCTGTTTTGGCATTTCTAAGTTCCTTATTTTTGTTACTCTTTTTTGAAAATGTGTGAGATAAGCTAAGAGAATTTGTTCATTTATCAAATATTCAGTAGATCAGGCATCATACTAGAAGAAAAACCTTACCCTGTAGGAGTATTCTGTTTGTCTTTAAGAAAGACATGTAAACAATATTATACTTATGTGGTGCTGCAATTAATAGACTGTACAGTGAAATGAAAAAGAATACCTAAAGGAGGGTTTCAGAGTGTGCTTTGAGATTGGAAGGGAATTTATGAGAGCAAATGTTGGTATGAGCAGTTTTTGGGTTTCCAGCTTAGGTGACTGAGCAGTGGAGCACAACCTGGATAAAAGTTCTAGGTCAGGAAGAAGGAAGAGCAGGAGTATATGGAAAAGAAGGGGGTGAGTTCCATTTTGGAATATTATATTTGAAGAATGTCTCCAACATCTTATGTGGAGAGACATTACAATAATAGACTGAGGTTAAGGTCTAGACTGAAACTTTTATGAGATAAAATTAAGGCATCATCATCAAGAGATGCTAAAGAATAGCATCTCTAGTGAAATAAAGGAGAAAGTATGTGTAGGTAGAGTTAGACATGTAGCTCAAGCAGGGAACCCTGGGGATCACCGTTATTGGGGAGGCACGCAAAGAATGAAAAGCCCCAGGGAAGAAAAAAAAGTAGCCAGAGAAATGAAGATAATATGTTACCAAGGCCACGTAGAGCTTCTAAAAGGTGGTCTCATTTGTTGCAACAGAAAATCTCTAAGAATTGGAGAACTCCTTTGTGTTTTTCAATTAGACCTTTGTTAGTGTTATGCCATCATAATGGGTAGGGCAACCGTCATTGCATTGGGCTAGGAATAAATTGAAATTCTGAAATGAAAACAAGGTAGATCACTCAAAATGTCAATAAAAGTGGAAAAGGAAGAGGAATCACTGCAACTGAGTGTTTGGGTGATGGCATAGATTGTTCTGGGATTCTGTGATTTTTTTTTTCACTTTTTGTGTCATTTTTAATGATTAAAAGGGCACATGCATAAAAACGTGGTATTTCACTTATATTATAGCATAACAAAGCTAACCAAACTAGACATGGAAGATAAATTATAAAACAAATCATTTTACTGTTGTTTGTGTGAATTTTCTTTTGATTAGTTTTATGTCTTTTCCAATAGGACTGAGGTCTTAATGCACTGGGGGAAAAAGAGAGGCAAATGAGAATAATGTAACAAAGTAACAGATGCCCAAAACCAAATACCATGTAGAGAGGTCCTGTAGTAATCATGTATCAGATTAGAACAGGAGAAAGTTTCTTCTCAATCATGATCATTTTAGTGGTATTTGTCAACTTTGCCTTGGTAACTTTGCAGCATCATCCCACATTTGTGAAGTAGTCACAAATTCATGTCAAAAAGGAAAGGGGGGCAACATGGGCAGAAGAGCTAAAAAGAAACTTCTCTGAAGAGGAAATGCAAATGGCCAACAGGCATATGAAAAAATGTTCAACATCACTTGTAATCAGGGAAATGCAAATCAAAACTACCATGAGATACCATCTTACACCAGTGAGAATGGCACATATTAAAAAAACTAGCAACAACAAATATTGGCGAGGGTGTGGAGAAAAAGGAACTCTTCTGCACTGCTGGTGGGAGTGCAAACTGGTCCAACCACTATGGAGAGCTGTGTGGAGATTTCTGGACCTACTAAACATAGAGCTTCCATATGATCCAGCAATTCCACTCCTAGGTATTTACCCAAAGGACACAGAAACATCCATTCCAAAGAACATCTGCACCCCTATGTTTATAGCAGCACTATTTACAATAGCTAAGCTTTGGAAACAGCCCAAATGCCCAAAAATAGATGACTGGATCAAGAAGATGTGGTACATATATACCATGGAATATTACTCAGCATTCAAAAAAGATAAACACATGCAATTTGCAGCAACATGGATGGCGCTGGAAGGGATCATGCTCAGCGAAATAAGCCAAAAAGAAAAAGAAAAATACCGGATGGTCTCTCTCATAGCAGGAATCTAGAAAACTTAAATAAGGGACCAGGAAAATGAATAACTATAAGAAAGTGAAAATCAAAATCAACAAAAAACTATGAACCAGAGACACTTTTTGGGGGGTGAGGGGCGTGAGGGGAGGGATTGGGGTCAGAATGGGGGGGTTGCAATTGTATGGGAAATATAAAAATAAAATTTATTATTTAAAAAAAAAAAAAGGAAAGGGGGGGCCTCCCCGGTGGCGCAGCGGTTGAGCGCTGGGCTGCAAAGCTGCTCGCGGCCTCTGCGGCGCCAGTTCGATCCCCGGCTGCTCCCTGGCCCCCAGAGGAGGGTCCCGCCTGGCGCGCAGACCTCTCCTGCCGCCCGCTGCTCCCCTCAGCAGTGTACTTAGGTCCTTCTGCCTGCTCTGCTCCCCGCTCTGGCTCTGGTGAATTCTCTCACCCTCCCGCGCTTCTGACTGTACCCAGTGCTTGTATAAACAAAACAAACAAACAAATAAATAAACATCAAAAAAAAAGGAAAGGAAAGGGGGAAGTCAGTTATTTCATATCAACAAATTATCTCTCCAATTCTTTTTTTTTTTAAGATTTATTTATTTGTGCATATAAGAACTGGGGTACAGGCCAGAGATATGGGGGGTGAGAGGATCCACCAGACACAGAGTGGGGAACAGAACAGGTAGATTGACTGAAGTACACTGCTGAGGGGAGCAGTGGGTGAGACAGGAGAGGTCTGCCTCGCCATGTGGGTTTCTCCCTGGCCAGGGATCAGAGGCTGTGGATTGCTTCATAGTGTGGTGCTTAACCCTTTGTGCCACCAGGGAGGCCTTATCTCTCCAATTCATATAACATGCTCATCAGCACAAAGTAGAGAAATAAGAACAAAGACTTGAAGAGACTTGATTCAAGTTATGTAGCAGATAAAAATGGAAAGTAAAAGTAGAACCAATGAGGTTGAAAAAATCCCCTCACTGAAAATCTGTATTAAAACTTACATAAATAAAAATAGAAATAAAACTCTACTAGTTAAACGTCTCTGGACAGAGTGATTGAGTCAACCGTCTGTACTCTCATAATTGAATTTTCTTCATTCATGTTCATGTGGCACATGATCTATGACCTTTATCTTTATAAAATGTTGGATAAAATTGCAAGTCTCAAGCATCTTGTAGAGTTAATCAGAGAAAACATCTGGAACTTTGTAAATACCAATTGAAAATCCTTATGTTAGCATATTGTTTGCACTTTTGGAATTTTGTTGGAAACTTTATAACTACTGTTTAAAAATACGCCTTTAGTACTGATGAATGACCCTTTTTTTCCTTCTCCTTAGTTATTTTCATCTGTCACTTTTGAAACTATTGAAGAAAGTAAGGTAAGACCATTAATTCAACCGTATGTTATAACTTCTTGAGAGCAAAATATGAATACAGGCATACCTCAGAGATATTCACTGTACTTAATATATTAAGTGCACAGTAGCATTGTCTTTAAAAACAATGTCTATAATCAAGTGTGACACAGAGACATGAACTGAGCATATGTTGTTGGGGAAAATAACTCCAATAGATTTGTTCCATGCAGGGTTGCCACATTTGCACTACCTACAAAGCACAGTGAAGCAAAGCACAGTAAAATGAAGTAAGCCTGTGCTTTGCACACAGTCAATTTTTTAATAAATGGAAGAGGTTAGTAAAGGCTATAGATGGTGTTTTTCCACTGAAGATACTCAAGCGAAGCAGGAAACATGTGGATTCATAGTGACTATGAATGTCACTCCATTATACTCCCAAGTTGTGATAATTGTGAATTTGCCTCTGAAAGCAATACTCACATGGTTCTAAGCAGCTTGTGAAAATTATTTTAAAATTTGTTGAATTTATCTTCCCAGGCCCCTAGAACCAGGGCAGTAAGGAATGTGCGGAGACATGCTTGTTCTTCCATCATCAAGATGTGTCGTGACTACCCCCATCTTGTCCTGGTAAGCCACTGGACTCTCACCAGGTAGCCACTTAGATCTGTTGAGCTTGTTTACATTTCTCTGTAAATTCAGTCCTAATTTTAAAGGGAAAACTAGGAACTCTAGCCTTACTTAGAGTAAGTATTCTTCTGTTGGTATCTTTTTCCTTTCCTGCTTAGTGGAATTAACAATGAAAATATATTCTCTCAGAATGAAGAGTTATATCATTTTGGTCATACAGATGACCTGGTTTTCCCCATCAGGATGTTCTTAACTACTGCAAGTTATGTGCCTAATCTTGACAGAAGCTGGGTGCAATCCCATTTTTTTTTTTTTTTTTTTTTTTTTTTTGGAAGATAGCTCTAAGAAATTTAACACTACTCCATATTACAAATTAACCAGACATTCCTTCTCAGATTACACAGTAGTGATTTGTTTCTCTCTCTATATAAATTCATCTTTGTCTATGAAGACGGTATAAAAGTTGATATAAAAAATGTTTTCAGTTGTAATATGGAAATGTAGTTACCCAAATAAGACAAGAACCATCTCCTGCCTAAATTGCCTTATTTGTTCAATAAAAAGAAGAATGTTATTACTAAATTACTAAGTGATAGTCTTATAGACCTGACATTCCTGGGGATGCTCTCTTTTCACCTTCCTTGAGTGACCACCTCTCCCTGACCATCACCACCTCTGGTTTTTCTCTAATCTGTAGCCCAATTTTGACATGTTATACAATCATGTGAAGCAACTCCTTTCCAATGAGTTACTGCTAACACAAATGGAGAAATGTACCCTCATGGAAGCCTTGGTTCTCATTAGCAACCAATTCAAGAACTATGAGCGTCAAAAGGTATTCCTAGAGGAGCTGATGGCACCAGTGGCCAGCATCTGGCTTTCCGCAGACATGCACAGGTAAAGAAGATCCTTTGTCTCTGACCCTCACTCTAACCCTCACTTTCAAGTGCCCATTGTGTTTCAAAAGCTATGCTGAGGTGGGGGTGTAAGGATATCAAGTTGCAATGACATTATCATTGATATCTGAAAACCACTAAAAAACCAGTATTGTAGTCTAATCAACAGAACACTGCCTTGCTGTACAGAGGTACAAGGAGGGAGAGAAAATCAGTAAAACTAAATAATGTGTCAAAAGACCATCTCTGTGGTGTCTGCGTTGCAGCACCAGCTCATGTAGAGAAATGAAGACAGTTAGTAGGTGCCATACAAAGTAGGAGCTCACACTCTTGTGCCCGAATATCTTCCTTTTGTATCCTGTTTGATTCTTAAAGTGTTACAAATAACATTCAGAAGTAGGAAAAGAAGTTTAGACTTTCAAATGAGATTATGCTCCTCTTGCTATAACAACTGTGTTCTGGGGCCAAATAATCATAGCTTATCAGCTTTTGTGGAAGAAATTGTCCTTGCTTAAAGTCATGGTATAAATTGTCTTCCCCTCTCCCACTTTCAGAGTGCTGTCAGATGTTGATGCTTTTATTGCCTTTGTGGGTGCAGATGGGAAAAGCTGTGACCCAGGCCTGGAGGATCCCTGTGGCTTAAACCGTGCACGAGTAAGTAAGCTTCTACTGGGAATGGGAAGTTGCAGTGGCTATGGGCAGGAGTAGCGTGTTGTCATTTGTCAAGTTTCTCGTAGATTTATGTTTTTCTATATGGGTGAGAAATCTGGGAGTCTCTGCTTCCCTAAGCGTCTCCTTTCTTTTCTTCTTTAGTCTTGAATTCTTGAGTTAGTTCCCACTGCAGAGCAGATGGTCTTTTCTATGAAGTCATTATTTTGGCTTTAAGGATCTCTAAGTAGCTCTGAAGACTGAAGGTGTAATGAGGAAGTAGGTCAGAACTTGGTCAGCAGGGTGAGTCCTCCCTGCCATTGCTCTCTGGCATGTGAAGTCCTGTGATGGCCTAACTTGCAAATCTGAGATTTTCCTTGCTATTCAAATAAGCACATTTCCTGGCTCCATTTTGGCAAACTCACACTAATTTATCCTGGCAACTAGTAGGTTGGTTGAGAGTATCATGATTTAAGGATTAGGGCAAAAGCCGTCAAGGCCCAAGCTAGACAGTTGAAAACAACTCATAAAAAAGGTGAAATGTTGGCAATCTAAACATTTGTTTGAAGCATGTTCAATCTACCTTCTAATTGGGGTCCTATGAGTGTCACTACAGCCTCTGGAAGGATAGCCTCATGAAAGGGAATCTTCTAGAGCCTACCACTGGTCCTGAAGATGGCAGTGACAGGACCCGTCCTGGATTTGACCTTAAAGGAAAGAACAGCGATTGGAGAGGGAGGGATCTTTTCCATCTCTCTGGCCTCTGTGTCACTTTTACCATAACCTTGCAAAATAATAGCTCTTTGGTCTTTTCTGCCCCCTTTTATGTTTACCTTTCATTTTTATGTTTTTCTGTAGATGAGCTTTTGTGTGTATAGCATTCTGGGTGTTGTGAAACGAACTTGCTGGCCCACCGACCTAGAAGAGGCCAAAGCTGGGGGGTTTGTGGTGGGTTATTCACCTAGTGGAAATCCAATCTTCCGTAACCCCTGCACAGAACAGATTCTGAAACTTCTTGACAATTTGCTTGCCCTTATAAGGTGAGTCAAAATAATGGTTTTTTTTTTTCTCTTTAATTTTTTACCTTAAGAATCTCAAAAATTACCTATGTATTTCTTCAAATCATGGTGGTGTAAATGGAGGGACAAGGGCTTTCTTTCTAGAAGGGGTCTCCTTTTTTAAAAAATAACACTAGCTCACTCTTGTGGGGTTTTTGTTGTTCTTTAAAGCAGAGCAAGAACTCGGTTTATTGCCTGACAAGCAATAGAGAAGGAAGACTTTATTTCCAAAAGAACCTTCTCCATTTACATAAGTTTTACATTCCATGAACATAGCCTCAATGAGGGTTAATCCCAAAATACCTTTTCTCAGTTTGAATCTCTTCTGTGTTCCTCTCCTACTTGTTTATACTTCATCCCTACTCTTTACTTAAAGTTTTATTTGGCTTAATTTTTTCCACTGAATGAATTGCTCATTGGAAAAAGGACGGTTCTGTAGGGTACTTCTCTAGGTGGCATTGAAATGAACTAATCTGAACTTGCTAGTAATGACTGATAGCAAATGAACCAAACATCTACAAGCTGAACTTGCCAAAGGCAGGCATGAAATATGTTCTGCCTAGGTCTTTACTAGGTAAAGTTTCCTAGGTCTTTACTTCCCAAGCTGCATCCTCAACATCAGCACCTTGTTTGAAATAAAGAATCAGGGCCCTACCCCAGACATATAAATCAAAACCTGCATAACAAGACCCCTCGGTGTTTGTGTGCATATTCAAGGTTCAGAATCACTGTTACAAATCACATGAGCTAATATATTCAAGTGGAAGTAGGCCAAGTCTAGATCTATTGTTATACTTCATATACATTTGATGATTTGGGGAATGCTTTTTACAGAGAAAGAGGTTTTGGATAGAATTCAGTTCTTATTAGCCAAAGCAAAACTTGAGTATTTCTGGGTTTCAAGTCAGAGGTCTGTTCTAGTGCTTTTGACCTCTTATACATGGTGTCAGAGCAGAGTCTCAACTGAGCAAACTTAAATTTTCACATCCAGGACATTCTGCTAGTAACAGATGTCCCAGACCATAAGCTTTTAAGAATCAGTGGTTTTCGGTTAACGTTTGCCAAAGTGAATGGCTAGAGTATCTGAAAGAGTTGTCACTGTCGCGTGTTGTAGAAAGAGACATCATTTTATTCTGATTTCAGAAGGAAGAAAGAATAAGGAAATATGCCTTGCTTATTGAGAAGGTAGTAAAACAGTCTAGAAAAGGTTTGTATCCCTGTTGATGTTTTTAAAACCAAAAGGCTCTTCTATAGCTTAAAGAAATGTAAAAGTGATAGTCAGATAGTAGAAGACTCCTCAACTGAATCTTTTAGACTGGTGCCCACAGTGCATGTGCTGAGACCCAAGACCTGGAGACAAGGTTCATTCTAATTGGGCTAGGAGGTCATAAGAACAATATGGTTGAGCTTGATACTTTTCTAAGTGTTCAGTGCTTTTGGGAAATGCCAGAGTCAGTCAAAGGTATTTTGAAAATGTTGACTGTAGTTATGGAGCAGTTAGCAATAGTGTGTAGCTAGAGCTATAAGTATCTTGTCTAGCTTTTATGGTAAATTCTTTCTTAAAGTATAGTGTATATAAAAAAAAAGGCCCGAATGAAGAGTGAATGTAGATGAATTTTCACAAAGTAGACACATCCATGTAATCAAAAGCCAGATCAAGAAACAGCCTCACCCAATACCACTTTTCAATTATTACCTGCCCCTCAAGGCCAGCCCCTTGTTTAACATTTTGTCTAGTATTTTGAGCTTTATATAAATGGAGTCAGAAACATGTACCTTTTCATGTCTTGCTTCTGTTGTTTAATGTCATGTTTGTAAGCTTCATCTATGTTGCTGTATATAGTTGTGGTTTGTTCATTCTCTTTGCTAATATGGTATTCCAGTGCGTGAAACTGCTATAACATATCCTTTTTTATTTTTTTAAGATTTATTTTTATTTATGCATATAAGAACTGGGTTATAGGCCAGAGGTGCAGGAGGTGAGAGGATTCACCAGAGATAGAGTGGGAAGCAGAACAGGTAGACTGACTGAAATACACAGCTGAGAGAAGCAGCAGGCGAGACAGGAGAGGTCTGCACCATGTGGGTTAGCTCCCTGGCCTGGATAGCTTAATAGTGCTGAGACTTTAATCCCTATGCCACCAGGGAGGCCCTGTAATCATATCCTTTTAACATCAATCTTTTTGAACATTTTCCAGTTTTTTATTGTTACAAATAAGTGCTGCTGTTAACATTCTTGTATCTTTTGGTGTATATATAATTTCTGCTAGGTAAGACTAGAATCCCACAAATAGGAGTAGAATTTTTTCTACTCTTCTACTCTATAAGGTGTGTGTATTTTCAGTTTTCACAGATAGAACCAGATAGTTTTCTAAAGTGGTGTACTAATTTATATTTCTACCAGTTGTGAAATGGAGCTGTGTTTGGTAAACAAAGAAGGTGTTGCTAGCTATCGAGCACTTAAAATGTGGCTAATCTGAACTCAGAGATACTTAAGTGTAAAATACAAACCCGATTTCAAAACCTGGTATAAAAATAGAATATGAATATTCTATTTTTAGAATATTAATAATTCTCTCATAAATCATTTTTATACTGATAACATGTTAAAATAATTCTTTTGATACATTGGGTTAAATAAAATGTTAATTTAGCCTGTTTATTTTCACTTTTTAAAGTTTGACAGAAAATTGTAAGTTCATTTATGTGACCTACATTATATTTCTGTTGGACAGTGTTTGCTCCTTGTGTGTTAGATAGGTCACATGTGGAAAACAGAACTCTCTGGGTCTCAAAGTTTCATTGTCATCATTATTTGTTTAGAATAATAGCTTTTTCCTTAAATTGAAGTTTGTTACATATGTCTTCTATATGTTTTATTGAAATCTTTTTATTTGTGAAGTCTTGTTTATAAGCTTTGTGATTGTACTGTTAGCGGTGATATCAAGAATATTTCAGATAGGTATAGATTATACAAAACTTATAATATCACTTGTTTGTCCCTTTTTTGTTGCTAAGCGATGACTACTTCCTTTTCATGTAAGAGATTAGAGCTCTAACTTGCAAGTATATCAGAAAAGGTAGGATTACAGGAGCCTGAATCCTACTAGGGTTGTCTATGTCTGTCTCTGACACAGAGTCAGAGATATCTGAGCAGTAGATACTGAGTCCTCTTACCACTGCTTCTGAGTGTAAGGTACAGCCACCGTGGTACCATCTCCCTAAGCAGGAGAGGAGACTATAAGAAATACATAACATCTGATGCGCTAGCTTTTCTGTTTTTTAATTACATTTTGGAATCGCGATCACATTTTAAAATTAAAAACAGGTAGTTGGTTTTTTCCCTCACAAACTTGCTCAAAATGAAAAATTATTTTTATGAAAAGTCAATGACTTACATCAGTGGTCAAAGATGGATAGCTTTCCCCCTACCATCTGGATTAAAACAAGGATGTCACCTTATGGCACTGCTTTTAAACATTGCATACTAGAAATCCCAGATAATACAACTAGGCAGGGAAAAGAAGTAGAAGACTTACATATTGGAGAAAAGTAAAACTATCTCTATTCACAAGTAACATAGAAAAGTAAAAGAAAAAACAAAACAAAATTGTTACTAATAAATGAATCATTGTTAACAAATAGATTCCACAAAGTTATAGGATACAAAATCAACTAGTGCACAGTTGTGATCATTTATTCATCATGAATACTTTCCCAAAGGGAAAGTAAGAAAATAATTTCATTTACAATAGCATTCAAAAGCATAAAGATCCTATGAATAAATTTGACCAAGAATGTACACGGCCTCCCCTGGTGGCGCAGCGGTTGAGTGCTGGGTTGCAAGGCTGCCCGCAGCCTCTGCAGTGCCAGTTTGATCCCCGGCCACCAGCGAGGGTCCCACCAAAAAAAAAAAAAAAAAAAAGAATAGATTTACAAACTGAAAACTAACAGCCTTTTTTGCACAAGTGGAAAAGCCAATCTTTAGATTGATACTGGAATTGCAAGGGGCCCATAAAAAGTCAAAATAATCAAAGAACAACATTGAGGGCCTCAAACTTTTCCACTTTAAAACTTACTACAAAGTTCTAACAATCAAAATAGGTTGATGCTGGCATGAAGTTTCTAGACATACAGAAAAAGACAACCCAATTTAAAAGTGGACAAAGAAGTTATATAGACATTTCTCCAAAGAATGACCAATAAGCCTGTGAAAAAATATTCATCATCATTAGTCATTAGGGAAATGTAAATCAAAACTATAGTGACTTCAACAATGTCGTTATGAAGGAGTCATCAGTGGTCTTCTGTTAAAGCAACCCAAATGGAAGAGGATTAAGTCGGCACAGAAAAGGTTCCTTGCTTTGCTTCCAGGAGCATAATCTGAAAACTATCTAGAAAAGCACTAAACCAAAGGATCCTGTGTCTAGGGGTGAGACTGGAGCACCTCTTGGAAAAAAGATACCACCACAGACCACACCAGAAAGGACACTAGGGAGATTCATACTTCATTAAACAAGATGGGAAGAGAGAAATGCCCAGAAGCTGTGGTCTGTGGCCATACCAACTACCTTGCAGTGCTGCTGCTCAGCCATCAGCCTTGGGGAGGAAAGAATTGAGCAGTGTACAGTCACACACCCATGTGAGGGGAAACACATGCAAAGGAGCTGGGGTACTCCCAGCAGGCCAGGTCCCCAGAGAAAAATAAGAGTGGGCTGAGCGGCATTCTCCCCTGCTACCATTGAGGACTGGTACTAACCTTGTTAAGCATGTTGACAGTGCACAGACTGCAGAATCTTAGCACTGGAATGCTAGAGAGGAGAGATAACTGGTGCCACAAACCAAACAACCATCCCACCCGTGCCCAGCACATTGCCACTAACAATTAGACCCTTCCAAGCCCCTTCCCCACTCCCTGACTGGCTACAAGGTCATTTCTGAGTTATGGAAGTTGGGAAACACACGTGCACACATGCAAACAC